ACCTGGGCTATGCACCATGAACCACTACCTGGGCTATGCACCATGAACCACTACCTGGGCTATACACCATGAACCACTACCTGGGCTATACACCATGAACCACTACCTGGGCTATGCACCATGAACCACTACCTGGGCTATACACCATGAACCACTACCTGGGCTATACACCATGAACCACTACCTGGGCTATGCACCATGAACCACTACCTGGGCTATACACCATGAACCACTACCTGGGCTATACACCATGAACCACTACCTGGGCTATGCACCATGAACAACTACCTGGGCTATACACCATGAACCACTACCTGGGCTATGCACCATGAACAACTACCTGGGCTATACACCATGAACCACTACCTGGGCTATGCACCATGAACCACTACCTGGGCTATGCACCATGAACCACTACCTGGGCTATACACCATGAACCACTACCTGGGCTATGCACCATGAACAACTACCTGGGCTATACACCATGAACCACTACCTGGGCTATGCACCATGAACCACTACCTGGGCTATACACCATGAACCACTACCTGGGCTATGCACCATGAACCACTACCTGGGCTATACACCATGAACCACTACCTGGGCTATACACCATGAACCACTACCTGGGCTATGCACCATGAACCACTACCTGGGCTATGCACCCATGTACCACTTCCTGGGCTATGAACCCAACCTGTATTCTCCATGATGTAGAAGACGTCATATATCTTGCTTAAAAGTGTCTCCCACTCGTAAAAATTATTAAGAAACAAATGGGAAACAGGAGTGCGCGTTTTAAACCCATTGTGATTCTCCTACATAAAATTTGGATACAAATAAACATATACATTGCAGATTTTATTGTCTCAATAACCAATTAGGTTCATACAATATTATATATATATATATATATATATATATATATTGTTTTTTAATGCTCATATTTTTGTACTTTTATTAATTGCAATTACATCTAGTTAATGTGTACATTAATATATTAACTAGTCCAAATCGGTCGGGTCATCATCAAATATCAACAAGATCAGGCGCAGTTCCGTCATATTATCAGTAAGGAATATGGGACTAGAACCTGGTAAATAATGAACGCCAACATTATTACAGAAGATGGGAGCACGGCTCTGTATGAGGCTGGATACACGACAATCTTGCCAACCACAACAGTTACGTGCTCAAGACCAGTTAAATAATTGCTTCACAGCCTTGCTTTGTTTTCACATACAAGTGTTACCATCATGCTTCATCATTCACATACATGAGTTACCATCATGCTTCATCATTCACATACATGAGTTACCATCATGCTTCATCATTCACACACACATACATGAGTTACCATCATGCTTCATCATTCACACACATACATACATGGGTTACCATCATGCTTCATCATTCACACACATACATGGGTTACCATCATGCTTCATCATTCACACACATACATACATGGGTTACCATCATGCTTCATCATTCACACACACATACATGAGTTACCATCATGCTTCATCATTCACACACATCATACATGGGTTACCATCATGCTCCATCATTCAGACACATACATGGGTTACCATCATGCTTCATCATTCAGACACATACATGGGTTACCATCATGCTTCATCATTCACACACACATACATGAGTTACCATCATGCTTCATCATTCACACACATACATACATGGGTTACCATCATGCTCCATCATTCAGACACATACATGGGTTACCATCATGCTTCATCATTCAGACACATACATGGGTTACCATCAGGCTTCATCATTCACACACACACATACATGGGTTACCATCATGCTTCATCATTCACACACACACATACATGGGTTACCATCATGCTTCATCATTCACACACACACATACATGGGTTACCATCATGCTTCATCATTCATACACACATACATGGGTTACCATCATGCTTCATCATTCACACACACACATACATGGGTCACCATCATGCTCCATCATTCACACACATACATGGGTTACAACATAACTGGTGGGCAAATAATTATTGGCTTAAATTCTCCAAATTATTTCTGAAGCAGTTCAAGGGCCTTGTGTCCTGCGGAGGTTTCAGCACATAGTTGACATTGGCACTCCTCGATGTTGTCATATTCATTAGTGATGTTCTTCCCAGACTCACACTGCAGCTCTACCGATATCTTGGTCAATACAGAAGGTTTGCAACACTTGCATGTAGACACATGCACTGCTTCTTCACCTAAACGATAAGATATTTATTTTAATTGTATCCATTTAAAAATTGAGCTGGACTTACAAGACTTTCTATATATATACACATTATTTCAGTTTATTATGTACTGGGCACTATGTAGTATTTATTAAACAAGGTCTGTAGTTATTTTTGTAATAATTGTAATTGTAATTATTTGTAGCACTGTATATAATATTGGGTGTCATTATACTTGAGCATGACTGATGTTGACTGATGACAGTCAACATCAGCATGACACTGATGTTGACTGTGAACCATTCTGCTCACAACACTGAGGTCACCTGGTCACAACACTGAGGTCACCTGGTCACAACACTGAGGTCACCTGGTCACAACACTGAGGTCACCTGGTCACAACACTGAGGTCACCTGGTCACAACACTGAGGTCACCTGGTCACAACACTGTGGTCACCTGGTCACAACACTGAGGTCACCTGGTCACAACATTGCCATCACCTGGTCACAACACTGAGGTCACCTGGGCACAGAGACCAAGTACAATGACATGAAAATAGCCTTATCAAATAATTGATCTAAACAGATAAGCAGCCATGTGTACAGACATGTAAAACATTGTACTGTGTCAAAGCCCCTTACTTACGTGTACCATAGGCAGCCGATTCTGTTGAGTGCACGCTATGCTCCTCACTCTACGCTGTATTTCAGCCCTTAAACTACCGCCAGATGATGCAGATCACCACCCACAGGCAGCTAAGTACATGGAGTCCAAGCATGTCATAGCACAATCAAATTAACCAACCCAAATCGACTCATTCCATTGCAAACAAAATTCAAAACAATCCTCTCTGGCTGTGAGTACCAGTGCATGCTGCCCGCCTCTGCCCACCACCGCGCTGCCTGATGCAAGTTTCCACCACAACATATACTCTAGTCATTCTCGACCTATCATGTCTCCCAGGAACAGGACTGTGCAGGTAAATAAGAGCAACAAAGCCCCTACAAGGCATCCATCCCAACAAATACTGACAGTCATCATGTTTCTCCCTCTGGAAGCTCTGGGGCCTGTGGCGGTGGTGCTGCTCTCTCCTCCACCCCATTGAGCCAGGGAGCGGTGTCCTCTCAATCCTCTCCTATTACCATTCTTACATCCCAGTTTACGAAATTCAAGCGTGCTTCTGGTCCCTCACCGGATTTCCCTAACTGGGCCGAGAATCAGTGGTTCAATAAGTTGTGCCCAGTCCTTGAGGCTCAAAATACGATCATCTCGAGTCTTCAAACTGAGAATCAAGTGAACCGCGCGAACCTCCATCAACAACAACAAGAAATAACCCACCTCCGCGAGGATATTAGAAACTTTAAGGCTAGCCAAGATCAACTCCAGTATGACTTGAATAATCTCTGTGAGGAAAACATTCGTCTGAAAACTGATGAAGCCATAAAAAAACAAGAGGAAGCTCTCAGCAAAATGACTGCATGTATCAGTACATTATCCGCACAACGTTCTGTCTCCCAGGATGAACAAGATCAGCAAAAGCTGCTTGACTCTGTAGTTGTGTCGTCCCAAGATATTCCTGTGGAAAGTGAAGGTGAAAAGTGTATTGAAATAGTTCAGACTCTCTTAAAAAACGAATTGCAGGTCACTCTAAACAAAACAGACATTATTGCTGCCTACAGAGTAGGCAAAAAGAATCCATCAGGACAAAACCAGCAGAAAATTCGCCTGAAGCTGGCTTCCAAGTCCATGAAATCGCATCTTGTACGGACAGCTGCATCCCAACGACAGGGAATCTACATCAACGAGTGTTTGACCAGAAAAAGACAGCAACTCCTCTACCACCTGCGTCAAATCCGTCATCAAAACCCAGATGCGATTCATCAGTGCTTCGTTAGAGATGGCGTGATTAAAGTGAGAAAGACTTCAGGAGGTAAAATGTTTACAATTGCTAATGAGGATAACCTCAACACTTTTCTCTCCCAATGTGGTTTGTCTCACCTTATTATCACTCCCAATGAGTCAACATAATTAACCCCCTTGTCACCTAGTGCGGCCTAGGTATCCTAAGTCTCTTTGTTTCACTTTTTAAATTAATTTTTAATTTACTTTATACTAGTCATTTATTGGACTTAATTAACTGAGTGCTTTAATATTTCTTTAGGTCTTATTAATTACAGGATCATAACTAAACTATTTATAGTTAATAATCATTAGCTTAAATTTGCCTATGTTTATTATTCAACTTTTTTCTTTGATTTCATTTATTACCTAGGTTGCCTAGCCTCGCCATACTCCCTTACTCCATTGTACCCCTGGCTTTACCTGTGTCTCAAAATGCAAATTATTACTTACAGTGTACCTGAGAGTACTTGTAAGCAATCTACCTCATTTTTCTTTTTTGTTCATTTTGTGTTTGTTTTGTATAGTCTTGTTTATATCTTGTATAGTCTTGTTTATATATTTTTCTCCCCCTTTTATATCAAAATTCTATTTTGTAATTGCCGTTCTTGCCTTGTTTTCCTGCAACCAGCCTTTTTATGCAGACAAGTATAGACCCAGAACTAAACCTCTTATCCACTATCTATGACAATCATCACTTTAATGATCAAAATTGCAGATATTTTACAGCACATGATGTAAACAATGTATTGACACATAATCACAATATCTCTGTAATCAACTTGAACGTTAGATCTCTAGGTAAACACTTCGATGATGTTAGTGCCTTGATTGAAACTTTTGGCAACAAATTCTCTTTTATTATACTTACTGAAACGTGGTTAAAAGAGGATACTACACAACTCTTTAACATGCCTAACTACTCAGCAATTCACAACTGTCGTCAAATTCTGAGAGGTGGTGGTACTGCTCTTTACTACCACCAAGAACTAACATGCTTAAAAGTAATTAGCACTAGAGACTGCTGTGGGGGAGTATATCTTCGCTAGTTTCAGAGTCAAGGGTGCTGAGTCTGTCCTGTCTGTGGGTGCAGTCTATAGAATTCCTAACACTAACGTGTCCGAATTCAACTCAAACCTTAGAAATCTAATACTAGATAACAGACTGAACAAAAACCATCTTATTATCGCAGGGGACTTTAATATTGACCTCTGCGAGCCTGAACACCCTACTGCTGTTAGCTTCCTCAACTGTATGAATTCCTGCTTCCTCATATCCTTAATCACTAGACCTACTAGAATCACTGATAGTACTGCCACGACTCTAGATCACATCTAGACCAACAAAACCTCTCCGCTTACTTCAGGTATAATCACCGATAGCACTAGAGACCATTACCCCACATTTCTCTTAACTAACATTAACAAACCGCCTCTAGAGACAAGGGAGTTAAGCTTTAGGCTGCACAATGAAACTCCTATAGGCAATTTTATAACTGCTGCTGCTAATGTCAACTGGGAGTCCGAGTTAGGTAACATAGGGGACATCAACCTAGCAGTGCAATCTTTTCTCTAAAAAACTCTTAGCCTTTATAACACCCACTGTCCTATGATAACAAAACAAGTCACAACCAAAAGGCTAAACAATCCTTGGCTTACAAAGGGAATAATTAAATCCATTAATAAAAAACATGACCTTGAGAAGAAGTATAGGTTAGGAACCGTCTCCAAAGAATTCTCAAAGAATTACTCATTATTGCTATCTAAAATAATTAGAGCCAAAACTAAATACTATGAAGATAAATTTACCCAAATAAAGAGCAACATTAAAAAGCTTGGAGTACAATTTCACAAATATTGGGATCAAAGAAGATTTTAAATAACAAACCAACACTCCTGTCCAATAACGATGGTCAGTTTTCAGCTTCTGATTCTGCTATTGAGTTCAATAGGTTCTTCTCTTCCATTGGGTCATCCCTTGCAAACGATATTCCATCTTCCAGTACTAAGGTTAGGGACTATCTTACAGGTAACTATCCACAGTCTCTGTACCTAAAGCCTACAAATTCCACTGACGTCAATGAGATAATCCTTTCCCTTAAAACCAAGTCTAGTGCCCTTGAGTAGATACCAACTTTAATTTACAAAAAAGCCTCCAGATCTTTAGCCCCTGCTATTGCATTGCTCTTCAACAAGTCACTTGAACTCCAAACCTTTCCAGATATTCTAAAAAAAAGCGAGAGTAACCCCTGTCCACAAATGTGGTGATCTCACAGATGTTAACAACTACAGACCTATATCAATCCTGCCTAACTTATCAAAAATATTTGAAAAACTAATCTGCAAGCAGCTTTACTCTTATCTAGCCAAACACAGTATACTTAGCTCTTGTCAATATGGCTTCAGACCCAAAAAAAGCACTAACGATGCACTTATTAGTATGATTAACTTGATTCATGCAGCTCTTGATAAAAATGAGTTCCCTGTTGGGTTATTTGTGGACCTGCGTAAAGCTTTTGACACTGTCAACCACCAAAACCTTCTTCTTAAATTACATTATTATGGAGTCAGAGGACACTCCCTGCAATACCTCAAATCTTACCTTACTGTCAGGCTCCAGTATGTTTCTGTGAATAATCCAATTTCTCCCACCCTACCCATCAACATCGGTGTTCCTCAGGGCAGCATACTTGGCCCTCTCCTCTTTCTCATTTACATTAATGACCTTCCAAATGCCTCCCAACACCTCAAACCAATTCTATTTGCTGACGACACAACCTTCATTTACTCCAGTCCTGACCCCCTTACTCTAAATGCCACAGTGAATACTGAGCTAAATAAAGTCCATCTTTGGCTAACTGCCAACAAACTCACCCTTAACATTGACAAAACTTTCTATATTCTGTTTGGCAATAAATCCTCTAATCAAATAAATCTCAGGATAAACAATACCCAAATTTGTAACAAAATAGATGGCAAATTCCTTGGCGTTCTCATTGACCACAAGCTGAATTTCCAAGGACACATTCTAAATATATCAAAAAAAGTTTCAAAAACTGTTGGCATTCTTTCTAAGATCAGATATTATGTACCTCACCCTGCCCTGGTGACGTTCTATTACTCCCTCATCTATCCATATCTCAACTATGGTATTTGTGCTTGGGGTTCTACTACCCAAAATCATTTACGTCCTCTAGTTACTTAACATAAAGCTGCTATTAGGACAATATCCAACTCTGGCCCCAGACATCACTCGGTACCCTTACTCAACTCTCTGAATATGTTAGATATTAAGTCACTGCACATTCTCTCATGTGTATTATACATACAGTATATAAAATGCTGAACTGTAATGCCAATCCTGACCTCAAAAGCTTCATTGAAGGTTGTAACAGAACCCATGAGCACCACACCAGAAACAAATACAGTTGTGATATTCCAAGAATACGACTTAATCAAACTAGAAATGCTCTACAAATCAAGGGACCCAGAATGTGGAATGATCTTCCCAATAATGTTAAAGACTGTACCTCTCTCAACCAGTTTAAGATAAAAACTAAGCACTACCTAATAAATTCCCTGTAACCTACTTTACCCTTATATTGTCAACCTATGTGTTTTTTTAAACAACGCTGTTTGTCGACGTAATTGTATTTGTGCTGCTTTTTCTGCCATGTAATTCCCCCCCTTTATTTTTATTTTTATTTGTTCTCAACACATTTTATACTTTAATCTCAATTAGTATTAAGTTTTAGTCTTTAATGTTTTTCCTGCCCGAAACGCTTTGCGTAATAGTGGCTTTAGGCATTGTACGTACTAGCTCTATCTATAAATCTATCAATTTTTGTAAAACCGCTTGTATGTATGTACTTTACCTGAATTAACATTTATTTATTTATTTATTTACTTACCTTGTAGTTTGAAGGCGGTGTTGGAGTTACACTGACCGGAACACTGCATAACCTTTTCCACAGCATAAGAATTTTTACATATTCCAGAAACCGGGTCAGATATCTCAAAGATGCCCACAGTTTCTTGGGGAGGCATTTCCTTTGGCTCACACTTTCCTAGAAGTCATAATTTTGTTATAAGAAATAACAATTCATCACAATCTATTTGTCTATCATTCACATCCAATTGTATACCAAATACAAAACATTCACAAAAAGTGACAGAAAAGTTGGGTAAACCTCTTCATTTTTAACTTATTTAATCAGAGGTAAACTAAGACTATTAATGAAAAGTGTAGATTTCTTAGTAATCTTTCCTATTAATGTTTTTACTGTTGTCCCCACTTTCATGTTCTCAAACGTACTCTTTGTGGCCAGAACCCACTAGCTGTAAAGTTAGAGCTCTCTCACTGCTAGCTGTACTGTATGTAGAGCTCTCTCACTGCTAGCTGTACTGTATGTAGAGCTCTCTCACTGCTAACTGTACTGTGTGTAGAGCTCTCTCACTGCTAGCTGTACTGTATGTAGAGCTCTCTCACTGCTAGCTGTACTGTATGTAGAGCTCTCTCACTGCTAGCTGTACTGTATGTAGAGCTCTCTCAATGCTAGCTGTACTGTATGTAGAGCTCTCTCAATGCTAGCTGTACTGTATGTAGAGCTCTCTCACTGCTAGCTGTACTATATGTAGAGCTCTCTCACTGCTAGCTGTACTGTATGTAGAGCTCTCTCACTGCTAGCTGTACTGTATGTAGAGCTCTCACTGCTAGCTGTACTGTATGTAGAGCTCTCTCAATGCTAGCTGTACTGTATGTAGAGCTCTCTCAATGCTAGCTGTACTGTATGTAGAGCTCTCTCACTGCTAACTGTACTATATGTAGAGCTCTCTCACTGCTAGCTGTACTGTATGTAGAGCTCTCACTGCTAGCTGTACTGTATGTAGAGCTCTCTCAATGCTAGCTGTACTGTATGTAGAGCTCTCTCAATGCTAGCTGTACTGTATGTAGAGCTAGTTGTGCTTGCGGGGGGTTGAGTTCTGCTCTTTCGGCCCGCCCCTCAACTGTCAATCAACTGTTACTAACTACTAATTAACTTTTTTCCCCCCATACCCATACACACCCACGAAGCAGCCCGTAACAGCTGTCTAACACCCTGATACCTATTTACTGCTAGGTAACAGGGGCATCTGGGTGAAAGAAACTCTACCCATTTTGTTTCTTGCTGGCGCCGGGAATCGAACCCCGGACCATAGGATTACATGTCCAGCATGCTGTCCACTCAGCCACAGGTCCCCACAGTTGTGTTTTATATATAGTGTTAACGAGGTGTATAACTTAACTATGACGTTTTAATGTTCATATCAGTACAGGTTTCAGACCCCACTGACTGAGGTGGTGGTGTTTAAACCATCTGCTCTCCTCTCTCCAGTCCTTTATATTCAAACTCGGAAATGTCACTTATCCTTAACTCTAGGTGCAAACAGCAATTATCTGTCAGTGTTTTGTATGTAAATTAAAATACAAAATAAATCTATGATTAGATTTCAAACCTTCTTATTATTCTAAATGATCGTCTTAGGCAAAGACAGTGGAGACTTACCTTCTGGCTCCACACTGCACAACTGGCAGCAACCCAAGTCGTCCATATATATGTTTTGGTGAGGACACTCAGGGTTAAAGTAGGGGCATCGTGTCTTAGCAGCGACCAGTGTCGGGACATCGTTCATCAACTCACAGCTGTACTGGTGACAAAGGTCGTCGTTGACCCACTGGTCGCCCACGGAATATTCTGTCCCATTGTCAACACAACTGACTTGGACACACTCTCCGCAACAATAACTGCTGGGGGAAATTAACAATAATTGTTTCTGGGGAAAATTACAACAATCAGATAACCATTTTTTCATTGTGTGTAGCGTACTGGCAGTTATAATTTTAAAAGAATCTCCATGAATGCTGCCTAAGAAATATCATATAAAAGACACTGTATGTAAGGTTAAAATTAACAGTTAATAAGTACTTTATTGTCTTTATTTACAAAGCATGCAGACACTTGCCTGAGTGTTGCTGGCTCTCTGTAAACTGAACCTAAAGCACATTCTCTATTGCATGTTATCTCATGCTCATGGCGCATGATGTTATCCTCAGCATCCATCACACAGCTGATGTTAATGCATACATCATTCGGATCTTGAACCTTCTCCCCCACCTGTGACAGCAACATGTAATAAAATATAAAATACAAGTTTTATTCAAATCAGTTAACAAAAAATGTATTTATTAGTTTTTGTTTAGACAAAGTCAGGAAAAGCATATTCCTAACAGTTAGCGGCCAAAGGTTGGCTTCTCTACTTTGGTCATGACAGGGCAGAGCATCTCATTGAAACTTTTACAATACTTAACAATTTGGAGGATGTTGATCCAGATAATTTCTTCAAAAGGTCAGATGTAACACAAACAAGAAGCAACAATTTCAAGCTCAACAAGCCACAATGTAGGACTGAGAACAGATGCTTTTTCATCCACAGGGTTGGAACTCCTATTATGCATAATCCATCTAAGTGATGGACCTGAGCTATCCAAGACGTGATGGTGTTGCTTACTTGGATGAAGGTGCCGTTGAGGAGACAAGCAACTTTGGAGTAGATGGGGCAGCAGGCCACAGGGTCGATGGTTCTGTTGAAGACGTAGCGGTCAAACTCCTCGTCACTAGGCTCCATGCACTGAGTCTTCACACTCTCCACCTGAATCTGCTCCTAAATAATTTCAACGTTAAGTATATTAGGCCTGATTAAAAAAGATCTTTCGTAATGTACAAAATATATTAAATGACATAATAAAACATTTTCATATAGTTGATGAGATAATTTAAAGATTATTATGGATATACCACATATATATATGCATTATATATGCATGTATATACCATATATATACATGTATATACCACATATATACTGTACATGTATATACCACATATATACATGTATATACCACATATATACATGTATATACCACATATATACATGTATATACCACATATATACATTTATATACCACACATATACATGTACTGTATATACCACAGTTAAGTATATCAACTCATTATGAATGGGGTTTTGTAATGAAAAATGTGTACAATTTAAATGAATTAATGCCATTTTGATATTATTCGCAAGATAAAATATCATGTGAATATGAGATAGATACCGCATGTCTATTAAAGGTTTAACATGCACACACGTATATATTAAACCCAACACAGGCTAAGAAATGCATAAAGTTTACTTACATGGTCATCGATGGCACACGTATAGGTGGTACAGTGGTCGTCTGACTCCCAGGTCTCGCCCACAGTCTTCACCTCATCCCCGACAGGACACCCCACCTACCACAGTGTACACGCTTATCATTAACAAAGTTTTCAAAGTTTTGAGCCAAATAATTGTGTTGTTGAGAATACCACATATATACATGTGATAAGTGATACATATGTGGGAACCCATCCTTTTAAAATTACAAGGGCTTATAGAAACTGTTGGGTCGAACCTTCCCATATGTTCGGTTGCATAAAAAAATTTCCCATTTTGTAACATTCATTTTGTAGAGAGCACAAAATATAAACTAAAATGCAAGCTTATGCATTCCTAACCTTACTTAAGTACGTAAATATACTATATTAGTCTTAAGAAAGAGTATATTTGGCATACAATTGCTAGGTCAGGTCAGGTTCATTCAGGTTAGGTTAATTCAGGTCAGGTCAGGTCATGTCATATTAGTGTCTTTAGTTACATTTCCAATTTTGTAGAATACCATTTTGTGAACCTTTGGAGGTTCAACAGTATATTTTATTACATGTGAACACTCAGTTCATGTAAGTACTGCCACTTTTGGAGGACGGGATGACGCGTGGTTAAGCCAGACTGGCAGTTGAATTGAGACAAGTCTATGCAACAGTCCCTGATAATCTTACCGAGCACAACTGCTTGTAAAACTTGTACACAAATCAACTGAAGGTAGAAAGACTGAGCCATAGAGCTACAGATAAACTCCAACCCAACTAGGGTAGTACAGCTAAGTTAAGTAATTACTCGCATACACACACATTCACATCATTTTCCCCCTTCCCCCTCCACCCCACACTCATCCCAACCTCCATTTACACTCCACCACCCCCACACACACCTTTACCCCATTATATCCCCCTTGCCCCCACGCACACATTCACCACATCATCTTCCCCCTCCCACACACACACATCATTCACCACATTATTCCCACCCCCCCTCCCACACACACTCACACACTTTTAGTCAGTATAATTGTACAAACTTGTTGCTAGGCAAGGAAGTGAATGAGATGTATGTCAAGTTTTGTGAAATATATGATAAAGGCACAAATTTTTTTATACCAAAACAGAGATGCAGAACTAGGAAACAGGATTGGTTCAATAGAAATTGCAAGAGGGCCGGAGACCACCAGTCTACGTGGTGTAGTGGTAAGACACTCGCCTGACGTTCCGCGAGCACTTTGTCATGGGTTCGTATCCTGGCCGGGGAGGATTTACTGGGCACAAATCCTTAGCTGTAGCCTCTGTTTAACTCAATAGTAAAATGTGTACTTAGTTGTAACAACGATTCTTTGCGGTGGGGATCGTATTCCAGGGACCTGCCTGAAACGCTACGCGTACTAGTGGCTGTACAAGAATGTAACAACTCTTGTATATATCTCAAAAAAAAATAAGACACAAAAATGGAATCAATACAGGAAGAGCCCAACCCCCAAACATACCAGCGATACAAAGATGCGAGAAACAACTACACGGCAGTGAGGAGAGAGGCAGAAAGAAATTTTGAAAAAGGGATTGCAGACAAATGTAAAACAGAACCTGGTCTATTCTATAAATTCATAAACAACAAATTGCAGGTAAAGGATAATATTCAGAGGTTGAAAATGGGAAATAGATTCACGAAAAATGAAAAGGAAATGTGTGAAACATTAAACAAAAAGTTCCAAAGTGTGTTTGTACAAAATGAAATCTTCAAGGAACCAGACACAATAAAATTTCCAGAGAACAACATAGAGCACATAGAGGTGTCTACAGACGAAGTGGAAAAAATGCTCAAGGAGCTAATTAAGAACAAAGCAGTTGGTCCAGATGGAGTTTCACCATGGGTTCTGAGAGAATGTGAACCTGAGCTCAGCATTCCACTTCAACTGATTTTTCAGGCATCCCTGTTTACAGGAGTTGTAGCTGATGTGTGGAAAAAGGCTAACATAGTTCCAATCTACAAAAGTGGAAGCAGGGAAGACCCCCTTAATTATAGACCTGTATCATTGACAAGTGTAATAGTCAAAATATTGGAAAAAATAATTAAAACTAAATGGGTAGAACACCTGGAGAAAAATTATATAATATCAGACAGACAGTGTGGTTTTCGATCTGGAAGATCCTGTGTAACGAACTTATTCAGTTTTTATTATCGAGCCACAGAGATTTTGCAGGAAAGAGATGGTTGGGTTGACTGCATCTATCTGGACCTAAAAATAGCTTTCGACAGAGTTCCACATAAGAGGGTGTTATGGAAACAGGAAAATATTGGAGGAGTGACAGGTAAGCTTCTAACATGGATGAAAAATTTTCTGACTGATAGAAAAATGAGGGCAGTAATCAGAGGCATTGTATCGGACTGGAGAAATGTCACAAGCGGAGTACCACAGGGTTCAGTTCTTGCACTGGTGATGTTCATTGTCTAAATAAATGATCTACCAGTTGGAATACAGAATTATATGAACATGTTTGCTGATGATGCTAAGATAATAGGAAGGATAAGAAACTCAGATGATTGTCATGCCCTTCAAGAAGACCTGGACAAAATAAGTATATGGAGTAACACTTGGCAAATGGAATTTAATGTTAATAAATGCCATGTTATGGAATGTGGAATAGGAGAACATAGACCCCACACAACCTATAAATTATGTGAGAAATCTTTAAAGAATTCTGATAAAGAAAGAGATCTAGGGGTGGTTCTAGATAGAAAACTATCACCTGAGGACCACATAAAGAACATTGTGCAAGGAGCCTATGCCATTCTTTCTAACTTCAGAATTGCTTTTAAATACATGGATGGCGATATACTAAAGAAATTGTTCACAACTTTTGTTAGGCCAAAGCTAGAATATGCAGCAGTTGTGTGGTGCCCATATCTTAAGAAGCACATCAACAAACTGAAAAAGGTGCAAAGACATGCTACTAAGTGGCTCCCAGAACTGAAGGGCAAGAGCTACAAGGAGAGGTTAGAGGCATTAAATATGCCAAAACTAGAAGACAAGAAAAAGAGGGGATATGATCACTACGTACAAAATAGTAACAGGAATTGATAAAATCAATAGGGAAGATTTCATGAGACCTGGAACTTCAAGAACAAGAGGTCATAAATTTAAACTAGCTAAACACAGATGCCGAAAAAATATTAGAAAATTCACTTTCGCAAACAGAGTGCTAGACGGTTGGAACAAGTTAGGTGAGAAGATGGTGGAGGCCAAGACCGTCAGTAGTTTCAAAGCGTTATATGACAAAGAGTGCTGGGAAGACGGGACACCATGAGCGTAGCTCTCATCCTGTAACTACACTTAGGTAATTACAAAATTAACATTGTCACCCACATACGAATAAAGAAATATATATAGGCTGCCTACAAGTTGGCCGTATTGCAGACGCTCACCTGTACACATTTCCCACAGCACTGGGTAGTGGGTTGGGGTGGTGGTTGATACTGCCAGCCTGCGGGGCAAGACTCCTCACAAGAGTAAATCATCTCTCTCTTCTCCACCTTGCCTTCTGGGGTCTCCACACACGCCACACTTCGACACCCTTCACTTTTATTCTCTCCAACCTGTCAAAACGTTTTTAGTTTTTATATTTATATTCACTTTTAACACACAAGATTTAATGTAATTAAAACATATTACAATGTAAGAAATAACTGTCAGGTTCTGAAAAGGAAAATACCTAATCGAGTTTCATCTGAAACTGATCAATTGTTGTAAATGGCCGGAGATCACATTGTAAAGTCGGCAGACCGTCCTCACGACTAAGTAAATATTGAACTTTTAGAGGTCCTGGTAGTATAGTCGGATTCGTTCTCGACCCACAGTGGAGAATTCCGGGTTTGAATCCCGGGCGGAACAGAAATGGGTGTGTTTCCTATCACATAATGGCCTGTTCACCCAGGAGTTAGTCAGCTTGTTGTGACTTTGCATCCTAGGCAGGGTCAGTAAATCAACCCTGGGGAGGATCGATATAAGCCTAACATGTACTGTGTGTATCAACTGGCTTCCTGTCCCCCAACACAATGAATTATTATTATAAATTATACTGAGTGGTCTGCTTCCCTCGTTAAACCACATGGATTCTTATCTACATATGTGATGTGCTGAATTTTGATTAAGATTCCAAATAGTAACTGGTAAGTATACCTTTGTTGTAAACAGAGAGCATTCTCAAATGCTGTTTTTATATATATATATATATATATATATATATATATATATATATATATATATATATATATATATATATATATATATTCAAGCTTAAAAAGTATTGTGCTGTATTACTGAGACTCTGGAAAACTTGTTTTCTTTTATGAGCTTTAAGGCCAAGGTTTTCTTTAAAATTAAATCTAGGGTATACTCAAGCAGGCCAGAATTTTATGTTTTCACCTGTCCAATGATTCTATACAGTAGTAAAACCTTACCCAATCTAAAGAAGCATAACATAACCTAACCTTAATCTAATCAAATTAAGGATAGGATATATATAGAAGCACTAATTACCTAGTGTGTTTTGACATGTGTACCACGAAGCTACAATACATACACCCCCTGGGAGGATGTGTGCTAGTGTGTGTGCTAGTCGCTGTACAACAATGTAAGAGCTCTTGTATATAAATAAATAAATAACAATATAAATAAATAATAATTATATGACAGGATAAAACTAAGATGATAAGAAAAATAAAATTTAATTTAGGCTGCATTGAGATGTTGGATAATAATAATGTAATTAGAACCTGGCAGGCCTAAACTATTGTAATCTCGGGCAGGACAGAAATGGTTGGGCACATTTCCTTTCACCTAATGCTTGTTCACCTAACAGTAAACAGGCACCCAGGAGTTAGTCAGCTTGTTGTGGGGTTGCATCCTGGGTGGGGTCAGTAATTCAGCCTTCGGGGGTGGACCCGGTAAATGCCTAACGTGTATGAATACTGTCTGGCTTCTTGTCCCCAGTCACAATGAATTAATTATATGAATTAATAAAAGCCTGGTAGGCCTATACTATTGTTGAGAGACAGGAGACATGTCAGGATTGTCGAGGTTCATCTAGCCAAAGACAAGGCTGAAAACATACGTAATCGATGTACAAAAGTGGCGGAAACAATGAATTCACCGTTATGTCAGATACACAAAGCAACATAAAAGTTAAGTTAAAGACAACACAGGAAGAGTATATTGTGTTACAGTTAAATTTCACATATGATAAGAACAAGCATGGCAGATGACTTACTTCAATTATATCTCTGCTATCAATACAAGCAATCCTCTTGATGTCAGGGCAGCACTGATTTGGTGTTGGTACACTCTCCAGCTTGTACTGGTCGTGGTCTGGGAGGGTATTGAGGAGAGGACAGATGTTTTGGACACACTGGTGGTGAGGGTGGCCGTCAGAGTCCAGCAAGCACTCACAGTTTAGGCACAACCCGTCACTCCACTTCTCACCAACCTGGCCGAGGAAACAGGGAGTCATTTCACTGAGGATTTGAGCAATTTGTGTAAAATAGCCATGAACTGTTTTGCTCATAATTAAGACATATAATACACAGTATATAGAATAATTATACACAATATGTTACCACTGTGACTGTAACGATATTTCAATATGGCTGCAGTGAATAGCTAAAACTATGTATTATGGATACATGTTTCTATAACAAAAATACACCTCTGATTATTGAAAATAGATCACTGTAATGTTTAATGAACATTCACAAAATTCAATATCATTTTATTCAAAATTATGTGAAGAATTAACATTAGAAGTACTGACTTTTTTCTAGCAGTAGTGTGTTGACCATCACTAGCCATGCTCTACTTCCTAGCAGTAGTGTGTTGACCATCACTAGCCATGCTCTACTTCCTAGCAGTAGTGTGTTGACCATCACTAGCCATGCTCTACTTCCTAGCAGTAGTGTGTTGACCATCACTAGCCATGCTCTACTTCCTAGCAGTAGTGTGTTGACCATCACTAGCCATGCTCTACTTCCTAGCAGTAGTGTGTTGACCATCACTAGCCATGCTCTACTTCCTAGCAGTAGTGTGTTGACCATCACTAGCCACACTCTAGTTCCTAGTGGTAGTGTGTTGAACTTCACTAGCCACACTCTAGTTCCTAGTGGAAGTGTGTTGAACTTCACTAGCCATGCTCTAATTCCTAGTGGTAGTGTGTTGAACTTCACTAGCCACACTCTAGTTCCTAGTGGTAGTGTGTTGAACTTCACTAGCCATGCTCTAGTTCCTAGTGGTAGTGTGTTGAACTTCACTAGCCATGCTCTAGTTCCTAGTGGAAGTGTGTTGAACTTCACTAGCCACACTCTAGTTCCTAGTGGTAGTGTGTTGAACTTCACTAGCCATGCTCTAGTTCCTAGCAGTAGTGTGTTGAACTTCACTAGCCATGCTCTAGTTCCTAGCAGTAGTGTGTTTACCATCATTAACCACACTCTAGTTCCTAGCAGTAGTGTGTTTACCATCATTAACCACACTCTAGTTCCTAGCAGTAGTGTGTTTACCATCATTAACCACACTAGTTCCTAGCAGTAGTGTGTTTACCATCATTAACCACACTAGTTCCTAGCAGTAGTGTGTTTACCATCATTAACCACACTCTAGTTCCTAGCAGTAGTGTGTTTACCATCATTAACCACACTAGTTCCTAGCAGTAGTGTGTTTACCATCATTAACCACACTAGTTCCTAGCAGTAGTGTGTTTACCATCATTAACCACACTAGTTCCTAGCAGTAGTGTGTTTACCATCATTAACCACACTCTAGTTCCTAGCAGTAGTGTGTTTACCATCATTAACCACACTCTAGTTCCTAGCAGTAGTGTGTTTACCATCATTAACCACACTAGTTCCTAGCAGTAGTGTGTTTACCATCATTAACCACACTAGTTCCTAGCAGTAGTGTGTTTACCATCATTAACCACACTAGTTCCTAGCAGTAGTGTGTTTACCATCATTAACCACACTAGTTCCTAGCAGTAGTGTGTTTACCATCATTAACCACACTCTAGTTCCTAGCAGTAGTGTGTTTACCATCATTAACCACACTAGTTCCTAGCAGTAGTGTGTTTACCATCATTAACCACACTAGTTCCTAGCAGTAGTGTGTTTACCATCATTAACCACACTAGTTCCTAGCAGTAGTGTGTTTACCATCATTAACCACACTAGTTCCTAGCAGTAGTGTGTTTACCATCATTAACCACACTAGTTCCTAGCAGTAGTGTGTTTACCATCATTAACCACACTAGTTCCTAGCAGTAGTGTGTTTACCATCATTAACCACACTAGTTCCTAGCAGTAGTGTGTTTACCATCATTAACCACACTAGTTCCTAGCAGTAGTGTGTTTACCATCATTAACCACACTAGTTCCTAGCAGTAGTGTGTTTACCATCATTAACCACACTAGTTCCTAGCAGTAGTGTGTTTACCATCATTAACCACACTAGTTCCTACCTGTAGTGTGATGACCAACCCTAACTTCACAGCATTAGTTTTAACTTGTTCTTAAACCAAATCACAAATCAACAAACATTTGGTTGTCCAGAACTTCACCCTTAACCCAATATGAATGTAAACACTAAATAAAGTATAGACCACTAAAATCCCTTTAAATCACAAAGTGTTAATATTAGTTGAGGAGAGTTAACACCTTCCTGCTTGTGAATTATATCCATGAAACTCTCATCTATAGTCTTGTAAAGCCCTTGAGGGTTAGCACAAACAATAGGAAAATACTGAAATAAACAGGTTTAATTATTTACCGGTTGAAGTTCTTTCTTGGTATCATTTCCGAAGCCTATTCTTTGCTCAAACCCGTCATCGCCAACCCGGTACTGATAGACGTATATGCACTCCGTTGGAGGCTCTGAAATTTCAACCATGTGAAAATATCAACTAGTTTAAACATGATAGTTGCACAGGCTTCATACCGTCACCACCATTTAAGACACAAGCGTTAGGCTCAAATGTTCACCGCTGATGCGCCACACAACAATACAAAACACATCAGCCTAATGCGACAATGAAATGCAGGTCATAATTACCTGTAGATTCATACAGGTATTTATTTAAAAATATTATCTACAAATATTATTCTAATTAGCTGACCGATCTGATATCTATAAACTAAAAATTAAATAATTTACAATATACTTCCAAAACTTATTTTTTTGTTTGAAAAATTAAAAACTAAATGACCCTCCAGGATTCGAACTCATGATGCCTATGATCACCGCCAAATGAACATGGTATTATGACCACCTTACCTTTGATCGTCTAGATCAATGATCAGATGATCTCACCTTTGAGACAAATCAATGATCAATACATGAGCAGAGATGCAAGCAAGATCTTACCACACGAAGTCTCAGGGCAGCATTCATCCTCCTTGAGCGGCTTCTCTCTTAGAGTGTGGTACTCCGGGCACACCTTCTCGGGACACTCTCCAGTGCAGCGTTTGATATACCTGGAGCAGCATCCGGACTCATCCAGTGTCCACTCCTCTCCTGACACAAGACAACACAGGATGCTCTCAATATCTCTCATACCAAGTGTAACACTGAATAACACTTTGAGTATTCCTCAGTTTACCTGAGGGCTACTATCTCTAGAGACCTTGATGAAGACAAGAAGCCAGCAGCTTGTCATAAGTCCCCCCCATACACTTGCAGTGTAAACAAATGCTCTAGAGCTACAAATATGATCATGATATTTTACAATGTGTATATGTTAATTAAGCATTACAAATTAAGTGATTATAATATAATTACAATATCTTTCATACAAAATAACTGAAGGTGCTAGAAATAAAAAGGGCAATAGATATATTACATAAATATTATTCTCCCACAAGACACAGCTAGGCCTCATGTAACGTGTGTGTAAAATGTTATTTAATGTTTATAATAAAGTACATTATAAATACAGAGTGAAGTAATTATCAGAAGAAAGTGCAACGCCAAAATGGCAGAGTACAGCAGGCGTTCTCTTGATATGTCACAACGTGTAAAATACAACATGGTAACCAAACCAGAACAGCATGTACTCAAGAAACCTACCTCACCTCACCTACCAAGCCATAGAAAAGATTGATATTTGTGAGCTGTTATTTATCATAGTACTTTGTAATTTGAACATTGGTGACCATAAAGTACAAAATGAGATGTAGTTTCCAGGTTGTACTAATGTACTGTACCACTCAAAAAGTTGTAAAAGTGTACCACTCGCCTTGTTCAAAAGTAAAACCAAAAAACCAGTGTTGAATGTAATGAAACGCCATTTTCTTGGTGTGACCCGAAGGCTCCCCAGGGCTATACCAGGCTGATATGCTAATGTCAGACTTTGCCATCAGTCATGTGTATGGAGTTCTTAGGGCCTACTGGGGACCATGACCAGAACCTGGCCCCCACTCAGAGAGGCAAGGGGAGCAATGCTACAGAAATTCCCTGTCTGGTTAGAAGCATTCTATGTCTGCCATCAATCAGGTCAAACATCCAGAAAGGTAAGCATCCCAAAACAAACCCCTATTCTGGTGAAAATTGCTGCTAAAAGCCAAAGTAGTGGATAGAACTCCCCAACAGAAAACAAGCAAACAAGTATGACATCACACGTCACCGCGCTGCTGCGCTGTCTGCGCAGCTCCCCCTCCTTGGGAGGGGAAAGGGGGAGCCCCAGACCACTCACGCCGGCTATCCACCCATCAGTTCTTAGACTGGATGTCAAAACACGTGAAAAAATGCCGACCAGAGGGAGGAATGGTTGCCGGGGGAGCCTCCTGGTCACACCCAGAAAACGGCGTTTCATTACATTCAATACTGGTTTTCTGGGGGGAGCCTCGTCGGCTCCCCGGAGCTAACTACCCACAGAGGAAGGTCAAAGGGACATATCCAGGAGGTGAACACCACACACCCTTCAACAGAAAGCAAGACAAATGGCTGCAACCACCAACCCAAGGGGACACAGGCCCGAACGGGCCCGGGAACGACACGAGACAACAAGTAACCAGGCCCCTGTACGACTGCCAAAAAGCCCTGTGCCTGAAGTCAGCAAGGACACGCCGCCAAGACGGCAGCAGGAGCAGCGAATCCCCGAATGCCACGGGCACGGGCAAAGAACACAGGTGGACGACCACAATAACAATAACCACAATAACACAGCGGATGACCCGGAACACCTTCACCCGCGAACAGGGAAGAACGGAACTGGATCAACCCAAAGTGCACCCAGGACACAGAAGCCGCGGGGCGCAAATAACAGCGGTGGGCCGCAACTGAACACAAAACACGATGCACCCTCGGCCCGACCAACCAAGCACCAACAAATCAAGGACCCCCCGGAATGCAGCAGCCTCACCCTGTGCCAGAAAAGAAGGAGACGGCTGCAACTGAACAAACAAAACGCTATGACCGAAGGAGAGTAAGAAACTCAGCGACCTGAGCCCTAGAGGCAAACGCTAACAGGAAAAGAGCAGTCAAAACAAACCCAAATCGAAGGGGCCACTACCAACCGAGGAGAAGAAAAAGCACCAGGATGGCCCAAGCGGCGCAAGAACAGGCCGGAGGTGAAACAATGCATGAGACAGCTTACGAACGGCACAGATGTAACACCAAGACCGAAAGCAAGCCAAAGCGGCTCCGCTAGCGCCACACAAAACGAGGAGACAGTATGCGGCAAGTCAACAGCCCCAACTCCCACTAGAAAAGCCAAGCCGATGCCAACAAACGCAGCCACCTAAGAAGGGACAGAAGGAACAGAAAGAACCACCAAAATATCCCATACTGCCGCCAAGAAAAGCACGCAGGTGGGACACCAACAACGAAGCCACCCGACCACCTACTAAAGGTGAGAGACTCGAGTCAGAACCCAACCAACCCCGTCAAGGTTCATCCAAGCCTAGGAAAAGGCGGAGCCGCAGGAAGATCTCGGGCGCGACCGCTGAGGAGGCAGAGCCGGAAACCCAAGCCAGCAAAGACGAAACTGGAACGTCTGTCGATCAGAAAAACCTCTAACGCGAGCGCGAGACCCCAGAGAAGGAACAGCGCGAGACCCTGAAAAAGCCCACAGGCAGGGCAAGCCAGGAAAACAGGAACCCAAAACTGGCAACAGGAAGGCCAAAAGGAACAAACAAAACACACAACAGCGTGAAGGAGATGCACGAGGAAGGGAAGTGGTGGAAGCAGACCCCACACACAGCTGCAAGTGCAGACCTGACAGAGCCAAGGAGATGTTAGGGAAGCGACAGGGGAAAGGCAGGATGAAAGAGCCAAAGCGCAACCCCAGGCACAAAACTATAGCAAAATGTCACCACACAACATCCCGACACAGCAACAAGTACCACATGTCACTGTGGCACACGTTAGCAATGCACACTCGCACCAGCAACATGCGCCACACGCAACAGGCAATACGCAACATGTAACCAGAAGTAACGTCTCGCGGCGAAGGCAAAGAATGGCGGAGTCTGACTCCAGACAGGGTCAAACGTAGATACGAGAGCCCAGCAGGCCCAGGAACCCGCACACTAAGCAACCGACAGTGGAGAGGCGGGACCAAGAGACAAAGCTCAACCCCAACAAGCACAACTAGGGGAGGACAACTAGGTGAGAACAGAGAATCCAATATTCCATCAATGTTTGTATCTAACCTTGTAAGTATGTACATTACCTGAATAAACATCTGAACTTCAATGTGAATGTAGATGGAAAAGCTAAGCCAGGTACAGCAAGACCAGCAAGGAATGCCGGTCAGAAAGCATGGAAACAAATAACCCAAACAAAGAAGACCCCAGGAAGAAGCACGGAAGGACAAAACAAAATGCCACAAGTGCACTCCAACATGCAACTGCAGTATCAAAACCGCAGCAAAACGTCACCACATAACACTCTAGACACAGGAACATGTACCACACAACAGGCACCTCCACTTACGCACCGAGGAACATGGTGGAGGTGGGGCCCCAAACACAAGCACGAAACCCGCTTGATACCTGCTTGATGGGGTTCTGGGAGTTGTTCTACTCCCCAAGCCCGCATGGGTGGACATGCATAGGAGAGGGACTGGATGGGCACAGTAAGGAGCCACCCTGTATGGGGTGAGATGCCTCCTGCAGTCACCTGCGGGTTGACATCCGAATCGGGAGATTAGGAACAAGAGCTGCCACGTATGGGCCAATAGTAAGGGCCCTGTTAGTATGTTCCATGTACTCATTTACGTATGTACTCCCATTCGTACCCCAAAAAACAAACCTGCGCCTGGACGAAAGAGACGCCAGACTGCATAAACTCGCCTGCAGAACAGTGGCACGGAAGGGTCAAGACAATGTCACAAGGCTGGTGCCGCCCGAGGTGGCCAGGGTATCGTGTACTCGCAGCCGAGAACTGAGAGCACCACCTGCGGAAGCAGGACAGAGCTGCCCATGCAGAAAAGGAGGGGAGAGGCAACGGAGGTGCCCCCTACCTAAAACGCAGGGAAAACCCAGCGTCCTCCCCCATAGCGGTACCTTAGAACACCCCCCAGGAGCAACGGGGCACGGACTGGAGACACGGGGAGGTAGACTGCCCGTGTCTACCAAACAACTTTCTAAGAACTGAACCCCTGGGACATGTACATTCATGGGGACCTAGCAGGGGGAACCACGGGAAGAAGGAAGAGAATCCAGTACAAAGGGGGCAAGAACCAAAGGCAGACCCCCACCAGGTTGGAAAATAAAAAGGAAAAAGAAAACCCCCGCAAGAGGACAGCGTACCCAGGTGGAACAGAGCCGGTCGCTATGATTGGTGAAAACAAGCTGTGCAGTACCCTGTGCCCCTACCAGTGCAAACTGCCCCTTACCCTAAGGCGAGCAAAGAAGACAGAACCCCCATCACACAAAGGGCGGCCGAAAACCAAAAAGTAGATAGCCTAGCAGAAGCAGGACCCAAGCAACTTGTGGAAGGTAACCCCAAGCCCCAAGGACAGTACTTACAGGGCACCTAGGGAAGGCAACCCTAGGCGCATGCAGCCCGAGTACTGGATACTCACTCCCAGCTCTCACACCACCTAGAAGACAGACACCACACTCTAGGCACAGTGCTGAAATAACCGCTGGAGCCGGAGCACACAACCAGTGCCTTTAGCATCAGTCAAAGAACTGATGGGTGGATAGCCGGCATGAGAGGTCTGGGGCTCCCCCTTCCCTCTCCCAGGGAGGGGGAGCTGCGCAGACAGCGGCGTGTTGACGTGTGACGTCATAATACTTTGCTTGTTTTCTGTTGGGGAGTTCTATCCACTTGTTCGGCTTTTGGTAGCAATTTTCACCAGAATATGGGTTTGTTTTGGGATGATTACCTTTCTGGATGTTTGCCCCGGTCGATGGCAGACATAGAATACTTCCAACCACACGGGGTTTCTATAGGCCATTGCTTCCCTTGCCTCTCTGAGGGGGCCTGGTTCTGGCCATGGTCCCCGGTAGGCTCTAAGAACTCCATACACATGACTGATGCCAAAGTCTGACATTAGCATATCAGCCTGGTATAGCTCCGGGGAGCCGACGGGGCTCCCCCCAGAGAGTACCTAATTTCATCCTCGTAGTTTCCTACCTTATGCTTTAAACTCATGCTGTATCTTGTACTACCCACTTCCCCAATATTAGTACTTAATCCTAATTAAGTACTTCATCTTTACCTGTGTAATCACCTCTGTCAATTTATATTGTTGATATAAAATGTTAGATAAGGACCTGCCCGAAACGCTATGCATGTTAGTGACTTTGCAAGAATGTAAAAATATCACTAATGATGTAATCGCACCAATCCATTGTACCTTCTTGTAAATGAAATATTATTATTATTATTATTATTGTTATATTGCCCAACCACTTGGGCGGGACGGTTGAGCGACGGTCTCGCTTCATGCAGGTTGGCATTCAATCCCCGACCGTCCAAGTGGTTGGGCACCATTCCTCCCCCCCCTCCCGTCCCATCCCAAATCCTTTTCCGGATTCCTTCCAAGTACTATATAGTCGTAATGGCTTTGCGCTTTCTCCTGATTGTTCCCTCCCCTTTCCTTCACCTGATGTTTTGTGTCTGGGAGAATTAGGAATATTTATGTGCGAATGTAAATACTTAGTGTTTTGGCACAATCTTATTCAGTACTCATATGTGTAAATTTGTTCATGTATGTCTGTTTATGTATTTGCACTCTGTATATGTATTCATGTGCACGTAGATAAGTATAACTTTACCTTGTTTGATATTTACCTTGTTTTTGCTCGGGAGGGATGAGTTTAGGGCAGTCCTCACGTGGAATACAAACACAAACATACTGAGGGCAATCATTGAGGCCCTTAGTAAGGTTCCAGTCTTTGCCATAGCCACAGTCATCATTTGGCTTCGGGTGCTCTGGACACGGTAGTTGCTCACAAGTCATGTTCGCTCCACAACAGCTGTCTTCAGAGCCTGGAACCTACCATAAGTGCCATAAGTTAATACAAAATTCATTATAATACAATTTATCCACTGGAGTCATTCAACTTCACAAACTATATAATATTCAGAACATGGTCACTTAACTCCAGATACTTTGCAATATTCATCATTATCATTTGTAACCTGTATATTATTTGCTCAATTTCTTGAACAATTCATATATGTTACCTTCCTTCTCATTTAGTGTTAGGTGTTTACCCCAATACTGTTTGATACCTGCTTGATGGGGTTCTGGGAGTTCTACTCCCCAAGCCCGGCCTGAGGTCAGGCTCGACTTGTGAGAGTTTGGTCCACCAGGCTGTTGCTTGGAGCGGCCCGCAGGCCCACATACCCACCACAGCACGGCTGATCCGGAACTTCTCTTAGAAAACGGTCCAGTTTTCCCTTGAAGATGTCCACGGTTGTTCCGGCAATATTTCTTATAGTCGCTGGGAGAACGTTGAACAACCGCGGACCTCTGATGCTTATACAGTGTTTTCTGATTGTGCCTATGACACCTCTGCTCTTCACTGGTTCTATTCTGCATTTTCTTCCATATCATTCACTCCAGTACGTTGTTATTTTACTGTGTAGATTTGGGACCTGGCCCTCCAGTATTTTCCATGTGTATATTATTTGGTATCTCTCTCGTCTCCTTTCTAGAGAGTACATTTGGAGAGCTTTGAGACGGTCCCAATAGCTAAGGTGTTTTATCTCATCTATGTGTGCTGTATATGTTCTCTGTATTCCCTCTATTTCAGCAATCCTGCTCTGAAGGGGGAAGTGATTATTGAGCAGTACTCGAGACTGGACAACACTACTCGAGACGGGACAACACAAGTGACTTGAAGAGTACAACCATTGTGATGGGATCCCTGGACTTGAAGGTTCTCGTAATCCATCCGATCATTTTTCTGGCTGACGCAATATTTGCTTGGTTATGTTCCCTAAACGTTAGGTCGTCGGACATCATTATTCCCAAATCCTTGACATGCTGTTTTTCTACTATGGGAAGATTCGATATATATAGCTGCTATATATATATATATATATATATATATATATATATATATATATATATATATATATATATATATATATATATATATATATATATATATATATATATATATATATATATATATATATATATATATATATATATATATATATATATATATATATATATATATATATATATATATATATATATATATATATATATATATATATATATATATATATATATACACTGCTCGATATATATACTGTATATCCAAAAAAATTAAACGAAATACATTTTAGTTATGCCCAAAATACTTTGCATATTAAATTACAATTTCTGTAACAACTAATTAACCACTGAATTATGTTTTTCTGCATATTATTTAAATAAAATAATTGCAGTATCTATGTAGTATCAACAAGCATGTTAACACATAAATTCATATTAATAAATGGTTATTTGGATATAGGAGCACTTACCTCAACAAGAGTGTAGCCTTGCCCGCACATAGGGTGCGGGGGGCAGGCCTTAAGCTGACAGATGGTGCCAGGCACGGTGCACTCGCATGTTTTGCAAGGCCCTTCCTGCCACACGTCCCCCACGTGGTGCTCCTTGTCACACATCTCGCAAATGCTTTCCTCCACACAAGTTCCGTTGTCCAGTACCTGAGGTCATTTGTTCATTACACATTACTACAAATTTTATTGTGTATACAGAAGCCACTAAATTAAGAAAATGTAATACACAGTTCAAGGAAGCAGCTATATACTATAATAGTATATAGTAGCCTGTTATCTGTATAAAATATACTATAATAGTATATAGTAGCCAGGCAGAGAAGCAGTGAGAAGTACAATGTACTCACCATGCCCTTTGGGCAGAAGCACAAGTGTACTCACCATACCCTCTGGGCAGAAGCACAAGTGTACTCACCATACCCTCTGGGCAGAAGCACACGTGTACTCACCATGCCCTTTGGGCAGAAGCACAAGTGTACTCACCATGCCCTTTGGGCAGAAGCACAAGTGTACTCACCATACCCTCTGGGCAGAAGCACAAGTGTACTCACCATACCCTCTGGGCAGAAGCACACGTGTACTCACCATACCCTCTGGGCAGAAGCACACGTGTACTCACCATACCCTCTGGGCAGAAGCACACGTGTACTCACCATACCCTCTGGGCAGAAGCACAAGTGTACTCACCATACCCTCTGGGCAGAAGCACAAGTGTACTCACCATACCCTCTGGGCAGAAGCACAAGTGTACTCACCATACCCTCTGGCCAGAAGCACAAGTGTACTCACCATACCCTCTGGGCAGAAGCACAAGTGTACTCACCATACCCTCTGGACAGAAGCACAAGTGTACTCACCATACCCTCTGGCCAGAAGCACAAGTGTACTCACCATACCCTCTGGCCAGAAGCACAAGTGTACTCACCATACCCTCTGGACAGAAGCAGCCTTCAACGGGGACCAGGGAACATGCATCAGGATCAGTATCAAGAAGTTCATAGTTTTCACAGGTTCGTACACAACCAGATACACAAGTACGGTACTCCAGACCTGAAATTACCCCAAAATATACTTTGACACGTAATTGACGTTTATAAATATAAATGATCTATCAATCTACATGAGCACACAATATACATTTCAAATGTTTGCAAGTCATAACCGAGCGAATTGCATGTGATTGACAAACCTCCCAAACAGGTCTTGGGGCAGAGATCTTGAGAGCGCCAGTCTAAACACACACCAAGGTCGGCACAGAGCTTGGCGTAGGCTGCAAGACTCTCGCATGCTGTTACATTTGGCTCGCTTCCATAACAAATATCAAGCTGGCACGATGATATATACGAGCCTGGATTCTCTAGTTGATGGCACTGTTCAAACATCAAGAACACTTCAGAACAATATTATATTTAGACGAATACATTCTATCTAAACGCCAAGTTATCCTAAAATGCTTTTCCGTCAAAAAATTTCAGCTACATCACATTTATTTTTGTTCATAATTTATTAACAAGGTTTGAATAACTGCATGAGGTTTGTCTCATTGCTCAAGTCTCAAGTAATTAGACAACTGTCAGGACAGATTATATAAATGAACATTTCCAGGAAGAGATTGACCAATATAGAACATGGAACAGTATGAACACAAACCATTCCAAATATGTCTTCATCCATTATATACAAGCAAGGGTCCTGGTCAGGAGGGAGAGGTTGGCACGACTCCTTCTCCAAGACACTGCAGGTGTTTGCTTCACCCTCCAGCAACCAACTCTGGCCGAAAGTGTCAACAGACTCCACGAGGCCTACGCCCTTAGCAACCAAGTCATCCTTCTTGTCGTGGTTACAGTTGCCTGCAAATATATAAATGTCCAAGTTTATTCATACTTTTCTTTACACACACTTAGTTTTGTCAGGAACAGAAAGCCTATAATATATATATATATATATATATATATACAGAGCACCACTTGGTTTCCGAACCCCTTGGGGACGAGACCCGTCGGTTAACATGTAAGTTCGTATACGAGAAATAGAGGGGAAAAATAAACTAGAAATGTAAAAAGAAATTTTTCCGAAAAATTTATGAAAAAAACTCTAGGGAAAAAAATCGTCAGGTTCATGGCGTAAATGCGACCGTGTTTTGTTTGTACTCATCAATAAGTGAAGTCCTGATCCGCTTTATAAAAGTCCTTAATTGTTCCTAACTGATTACTAAGACGTCTGGCAAACATCCTCTGGATGTTTCCTGCCAGCCTGCAGGCACATCCTGCCTAAAATATACGATGATGTACTGTACATTTAAGAAACAAATCTGGGTCACAGGTCTGTGGAGTGTGGTTAGGCTTACGGAGTCAGCCGGTCCCTCCCCCACCACCAACACACCTCCCCCTCTCCCCCCACCACCGACACACCTCCCCCACCCCCCACCCCAAACCCATACACACACACACACACACTCTCAAAGGTCACGTGGTTCACAGTTCACTTCAACACCCATATATCGCTTCCTGCCTGCCTGCCTCCTTCCCACCCTGCCAGCCTGCTTCCTTCCCAGCCTGCCTCCTTCCCAGCCTGCCTGCCTGCCTCCTTCCCAGCCTGCCTCCTTCCCAGCCTGCCAGCCTGCCTCCTTCCCAGCCTGCCTCCTTCCCAGCCTGCCTCCTTCCCAGCCTGCCTCCTTCCCAGCCTGCCAGCCTGCCTCCTTCCCAGCCTGCCAGCCTGCCTCCTTCCCAGCCTGCCAGCCTGCCTCCTTCCCAGCCTGCCAGCCTGCCTCCTTCCCAGCCTGCCAGCCTGCCTCCTTCCCAGCCTGCCAGCCTGCCTCCTTCCCAGCCTGCCAGCCTGCCTCCTTCCCAGCCTGCCAGCCTGCCTCCTTCCCAGCCTGCCAGCCTGCCTCCTTCCCAGCCTGCCAGCCTGCCTCCTTCCCAGCCTGCCAGCCTGCCTCCTTCCCAGCCTGCCAGCCTGCCTCCTTCCCAGCCTGCCAGCCTGCCTCCTTCCCAGCCTGCCAGCCTGCCTCCTTCCCAGCCTGCCAGCCTGCCTCCTTCCCAGCCTGCCAGCCTGCCTCCTTCCCAGCCTGCCTCCTTCCCAGCCTGCCAGCCTGCTTCCTTCCCAGCCTGCCTGCCTGCCTCCTTCCCAGCCTGCCAGCCTGCTTCCTTCCCAGCCTGCCTCCTTCCCAGCCTGCCAGCCTGCTTCCTTCCCAGCCTGCTTCCTTCCCAGCCTGCCTCCTTCCCAGCCTGCCTTCTTCCCAGCCTGCCTCCTTCCCAGCCTGCCTCCTTCCCAGCCTGCCAGCCAGCCTGCCAGCCAGCCTGCCTGCCAGCCTGCTTCCTTCCCAGCCTGCCTGCCTGCCTCCTTCCCAGCCTGCCTCCTTCCCAGCCTGCCTCCTTCCCAGCCTGCCAGCCTGCCAGCCAGCCTGCCAGCCAGCCTGCCTGCCTGCCTGCCTGCCTGCCAGCCTGCTTCCTTTCCAGCCAGCCTGCCTCCCCCCCTGCCATCATGCTAACGGGTAGTGTGTGTTAGGCTTATCTTCGGGAATGAGCCGGTCTCACCCCCACCACCAACAAACCACCCGCCCCCCTACATCCATCTCTCAAGGTCACGCGGTTCAACCGCGTGACTACCACTCACTCCCTGCCTGCAAGCTAGCCTGCCTGCCTGCAAGCTAGCTAGCCTGCCTGCCTGCCTGCCTGTGCCTGCCTGCCTCTGCCTGCCAGCCTGCCTTTCCCTCCCTAATTCTCACTACTTCCATCCCTTCCTGCCTACCTCCTAGCATCTCTCCCTACCTCCCCCTCCCTCTTAGCATCTCTCCCTACCTCCTAACATCTCTCCCTACCTCCCCCTCCCCCCTAGCATCTCTCCCCCCCCTCTCTCACTGATTCCCCCCCCCCCTCATTCATACTGCCTCCCACCTAAGTTCCATCGTCCATCCACCCACCAGTCAGCCATCACTGACGCAATGCGTGCATTTGGAGCCAACATGGTGCACAGATGTTTCTTGATTGTGCAGATATGTAAAACAAAAGCACAGAATGAACATTCCAGCCTTATGACAATTCAAAATAATAGGAATAATAGGCCGTGAATCTGTGAAGTCACAGTGGGCAAACTGGACCATCTCCCACCCACCACCACAAGCCGGCGTGACGCTTGGTGGACCCCTTCCTACCCGAACTTTGTTCGGGTAGCATGACTCCCCAATCCCAATCGGGAAACTGGAAGTTTCGGATAACTAAAGTTCGGAAACCAAGTGGTGCTCTGTATATATATATATATATATATATATATATATATATATATATATATATATATATATATATATATATATATATATATATATATATATACATATACATATACATATACATATACATATACATATATATATATATATATATATATATATATATATATATATATATATATATATATATATATATATATATATATATATATATATATATATATATATATATATATATATGACAATGTCAGACCACGGAGGAAAAATGAAACAGGAATTTCCTTAAGTACTTTCGTATATTAAATACATCTTCAGAAGGTGAAGATCACGTGTTTATTCTCGTGATATACACACACACACACATATATATATATATATATATATATATATATATATATATATATATATATATATATATATATATATATATATATATATATATATATATATATATATATGTCGTACCTAGTAGCCAGAACGCACTTCTCAGCCTACTATGCAAGGCCCGATTTGCCTATTAAGCCAAATTTTCATGAATTAATATATTTTCTCTAATTTTTTTCTTATGAAATGATAAAGCTACCCATTTCATTATGTATGAGGTCAATTTTGTTTTATTGGAGTTAAAATTAACGTAGATATATGACCGAACCTAACCAACCCTACCTAACCTAACCTAACCTATCTTTATAGGTTAGGTTAAGTTAGGTAGCCGAAAAAGTTAGCTTAGGTTAGGTGAGGTAGGTTAGGTAGTCGAAGAACAATTAATTCATGAAAACTTGGCTTATTAGGCAAATTGGGCCTTGTAGAGTAGGCTGAGAAGTGCGTTCTGGCTACTAGGTACGACATATATATATATATATATATATATATATATATATATATATATATATGAAAGTTTGTGAGGGTACCACCTCTGGTGCCAATGTGGGGACCCATAGCCTCGGCGAAGAAAATAAATATATATATATATATATATATATATATATATATATATGTGTAATATAAAAGTCCAGGGAGTACCAAAACAACGTCGTCTCTTCATTATCGGATGTGTGGTTTGGTCATTATAGTCCCCAGATAGACATAAGACTGGTATGATTAATGAGTAAAGGTAGTTAAGTTATTAATGAGTTAAGGTAATTAATTAATTAGTGGTGCACTCACCACACAAGCCCTCCGTCTTGTTGAAGTAAAGGTAGGATGGCAGACGGATGGTGAACTGATGGTTTTCCAGGAAGAAGTCCACCTCCAGCTGCAGCTCCTTGACGGTCACCATCACCTGGGTGCACACAAACCTTTTACACTCTTATTTTTAAATTTCTAATAATGTATAAATGTGATACATGTGACACATATATCATACATGAAAAATGTTTTGTCTTCACAACATATGTGACACAATTTATGACATGTGTCACATTGACACATGTGACAACATATAAACACAATTTATACCTAATCGCAATTACTATTAAGTTTTAGTCTAAGTGTTTTTTTCCCCCCACACCTTGCCCGAAACCCTATGCATATTAGTGCCTTTAGGAATTACATGTACTAGCTCTATCTATAAATCCAACATTATGTGTGTAAATCAACTATATATGTACTTTTCCTGAATAAAAATTTATTTATATATTTTTGTTATTATTATTATTACCCAAACAAATGAAATTCAGTACAGTATTGATACCGTACTGGGAATTTCATGCCGATAATGTACATAAATGACATTTTTTGTGGAGAGCCCCTTCGGCTCCCCGGAGCTATACCAGGCTGATGTGTATATATTAGACCATGGCAACAGTCAATCAAAGGAGTTCTAGGCCTATTGGGGACCAGAGCCAGAACCTGGCTCCCCTCAAGAGAGGCACGAGGAGCAATGGCCTAAAGACATCCCCGTGTAATTGGAAGCTGTCTTTGTCTGCCATCTACCAGATCAGGAATCCAGAAAGGTAGGAATTTCGAAACAAATTACTGCTGATCAAAAAAATTGCAAACCGAAAGCCGAACCAGCAAACAGAACTCCCTAAACAAAAACAAGGAAACAAACATTCAAAATTCAAAATCAAATGTTTATTTAGGTAAAGTACATACATACAAGGGGTGATACAAATATTGATAAATTTATAGATAGAGCTAGTACATACAATGCCTAAAGCCACTATTACGCAAAGCGTTTCGGGCAGGAAAAACATTAAAGACTAAAACTTAATACTAATTGAGATTAAAGTATAAAATGTGTTGAGAAAAAATAAAAATAAAAAAGGGGAGAACATGGCAGAAAAACAGCAAAAATACAGTTAGGTCGACAAACAGCATTGTTTAAAAATAACAGACATGGGTTGACATTATAGGGGTAAGGTAGGTTACAGGGAATTAATTAGGTAGTGCTTAGTTTTTATCTTAAACTGGTTGAGAGAGGTACAGAGAGGTTGAGAGAGAACATGACGTCATCACGACCGCCGCGCATCAGTCTGTGCAACACCCATCCCGAGAAGGAGAAGGGGGGGTCCCAGACCTCCACGCCGGGAACTCTCCTCAGTTCAAGAGGCTGTTGTGTGGGTGACGGGCGATCACCCTAGGTGGCTCCACTCTTTGCGCAGTGTGGTGTTGTTGCTCTCATTTGGTAGAGTGTGAGCCAGAAGTAACACAAAAGTACTGGGGCTGCATGCACCTAGGGCCACCTTCTTTAGGTGCCCTGTAAGTACTGCCTTTGCAGCCTCAGGGTTATCTTCCCTGAGCCGTTCAGGAGCAGCTACCTCCGTGTGGTTCTGTCACTGCTCGGTGATTGCCCGCCCATGGGGGTTCAGCCTGGGAGGTTCTTACTGCTGTTTACCTTTGGGTAGGAGGTAGTTTTGTCGCTGGCTGGGACGCGAGGTACTTTGCAGTTGTCTGATATATGCACAGCGACCAGTTCTGTTCATCTGGAGATCTGCTTTTGCGAGGTTTTTCTTTTTTGTTTTGTTTTGCCTGGTCTGCCTTGTGTGGTGGTAAGACCACTTGCAGGAGTTTGACAGCTTTCCACTAGGTCCCTCATACTTGCACATGTCGCAGGGGTTCAGCTTTTAGTTGTTTGCTTGGTAGTTCTGGGATAACCGGTTAGCAGTACCTCGCCTGGGCCTCCCTTAGCAGTCAGCCTAAGGGCCCTGGAAACCCCCTTTGGGGCTCAGTGGTCCAATGCACTCTGAGTCCCACCTCGCCTTGTGTGAGTTTGAAGGTTGCTCTGTCCCCTTGTCTCAGGGTGACACTCACCGTCTGCCTCCGTCATGCTGCCTGTTGGGGTCAGTGACACCTATGACCCGGAGTCCTGCGAGTGGTATTCTTTGCTTGTACTCCATTCACCCAGTCCACTGAGACTGATATTTGAGTGCAGGCAGCTTTAGTGTTGGATGCGAGGTTTAGGTTGCAGCAACATGCGAGGTTGGTTGCCTTTCCGGATGCCCCGCAGCTGCCCCGCTGAATTATACTGGTAGTGAGACTCGGGTGGCTTCGGGGATTGCCACTTCCGGATCGGCGGCAGAGGCATTCGAGCCTGGTCCTGCTGCCAGAGCTTTTGGGCCATTCCAGCAGGCCCCTTCATCCCTGCTTTTCCGGTGGACTTTGCTTTTTCTCCAGAGGCAGAGGCAGAGGGTTTGAAGGACGACTCGGCCCCGGGTCCTGACGTGGAGGATTCCGGGGCTGGGGAGGAGTTGATGTGGAAGATTCTGGGCCTGGGGAGGAGTTGACATTGGGGGGGGGGGGCCTCAGCCCTACTTGCTCCTGCTTGGATGTTTGGTACCCTCTTGTTGTTACAAGAGTTGGGGTTTTTGTTACAGTGGAAGGGTTTTCCAATCCCCTTCCCTGTACGATTTTGTTATGAGTTCGACTCCTCCCCGGGTTTGGTTCCGAGTTCCCTCGGGGTCCTCTTTTCCTTATTGGGTGCGTTACAAGGTGCCAGAGTCTTCCTGGCTGGCAGACTGCCTTTTCTTTCATTGGGGGCATGGCATTCATCCTGTCAGACTGCGCACTTGAATGGCGAGAGTTGCCTACGGTCGTTCAAGTTTTCCTTGGGGGGGGGGTGAGTTCGAGCACCTCAATGCGTGCTTGTTCGCCCCTGTCCTTCCTTATGATGTCGGCCAGGTATGGCTTCCCGTGCAGGTTCCCTCCCTTTCAGCATCCCTGGTGGCCGAGGATTTGTGCTCCCATGGGCACTTGGCTTCACTCTTGCATTTTTTTCCCCTGCTGGAGCTGTCTTCGGACTGGCTTGTGGTGGGTGTGGAGGAGCTGGATTCCAAGCCAGTGTTCGGTTTGCTTGCTTTGGCTGCTCAGGCGCCAACTGCTTTAGTGAAGTTGTATGCGCCGTTTCTGAGGGAGGCAGTGTGTGTTCTTCGCTTCTCACCTTGCGTGCTGACAGGCGGTGCTCGTCCATTTTTTGGAATCGTCTTGGGCTCTGGCTTTTAGATTTTCATCCCCTTTTTGTCCGTTGCTGTTTGCAGAGTCTGCGGTGGTGCATTTTCTGCAGGCAGCTTCATCTTGTTGACGGCCTATGTCGAACTTGTAGGTTCTCCATGGGGGCCGTGGAGGTCCTGCCCAGAAGGGTCGCGCCAGGTCTCGGGGTTCCTTCGGTCGTCATAAGCAGCAGTGCCAGATTCGGGCCTGGGCCTTATGTGGAGTTGTCGGCTCAGTAATCGCTCCGAGTATTAGTCGAGCTCTCGTAGGGGTCGTCGGCCCTTTGACAGTTCACCCTGTTGGCGGGGCGATAGGGTGAAGGCTCGCGCTGTTTGTTCTCACCTGGTTCCATGATTCGTGGGCAAATTCGGGTCATTTTCCTCTGGCCTGCAGTGGTGTTGCTTCTTTTCTTCTCCTTCAGGGGGATTGGGGCTAGCAGGGAGGGCCTCTTCCCTGGCGCTCTGTCAGGTCGTCATCCTGGAGTGGGTTTCCCGCCTGTTTTCAGTTCCGAAACGGGACTGGGCAGATCTGCGAATCATACTGGACTTGTCCCGTTTGATCCCCTGGGTCTTTTGCCCCTCATTTCAGATGACCACTCTGCCTCGGGGTCTGGCTGCTTTTGGCACAGGGTGCTTGGATGGTGTCTCTGGACCTCTGGGACGCGTATTAGTACGTCTGGTTTTCAGGGACTGACTCAGTTTTGTCGTGGATTGACAGACTTACAGATTTTGTTGCTTTCTTTCCAATTTGGATTTGGCACCTCGCGTGTCCACACGCCTTAACCGGGTTGCGGTGACCCGTTTGAGTTCTGGCTTACCTCAGTGATTGGCTGGTGTGGGCTCCCAGCCAATCTAGGTGTCTGCTCGCCAGGGATTTGGTTCCTTACCAGCTCACCGGGTTCCTGTTTTTGGTGTACTGGAAAAAGTCCCATTTGGTTCCCTCTCAACTTCAGACTGGGCTGGGTCTTGTGTGGGACTCTCGGACCGCTTCCTTGTCTTTCCCTCTGGTGCCGTTGGTGCGACTGTGGTCACACTTACATCTGTTTTTGGAGGGCACCCGGGTCACACCTCGGTTGTTTGAGTGGTGGTAGATCCACCTAGAGGTGGATCTCTTTGCAGCGACATGGTCGAGGCATCTTCCAGTGTACGTGGCACCCTCCCCGACTGCGAGGCCGTCGGGGTCGATGCCTTTTGGCTGGACTGGTCGAGTTGGGGTTCCCTGTACCTCTTCTCACTGGTTCGGTTGATGCTCTGGGTCCTGGTTAGCTTAGAGAAACTTACCATGGATGAGTAGTCCTGTTTGACTCTTCGGTGGCTGGCCCAGCCCTGGTTTCAGGTGCTTCTTGCTCGATGTTGAACCCAAGCAAGAAACGCCTCTTCCAAGAAGAGCAAGAAGGGTCTTCCTGCGGCTTCACCTCTTTCAGCGGATTGGTTTATTCTGGTACTTGGCTGATTCGATCTTCTCTGCTTCTCGCGTCTGGTCTTTTTGATGCGGGCTTATCACCTCCCCATCACCTATCACCTTGATCACGTATGGTGATCAGGTGGCTTAGTTGGTGTCCCACCTGCAAGTTTTGTCTCGACGGCAGTATCAAATTTCCTGGCGGTCTCTTCAGCACTTGCCTCCTCGCAGATTGTCTTTGATTTCTGGTCGGGTTGTTTTGTCCTTTCTCTCTTGGTTGTTTCCGGACCGTCTTCTTATGCCAGACACTGTCACCTCGTTTCGGGTGGCACTGGCGGAGCCGCTGCAGCTTACATTTGGGGTGGATGTCACTTCTGCTCTGTTCCGCAAGCTTTCTCTGGCGTTTTCACCTCCGGCCTGCTCATGCGCTGCCTGAGCTGTCCAGGTCGTTGCACCGGGTGCTCTCTTCTCCCTTCTCCTCGGTTTGGGGTGGCCCCCTCGGTTCAGAACTGTTTTTCTATGGCTCTTTTCTTGTTGGCATTGGCCTCTGGGGGTCAGGTCAGAGTTTCATGATCTCCTCTGGCACAGGGTTACTGCTCTTTCATTCCTGGTGGCCTTTTCTTCATTTGCAGCCATCTCCTTCTTTTCTGGCGAAGAATGAGTCTGCTGCTTTCCAAAGGGGTCCTTGGGTTGTTGTTGCTTGGTTGGTTCGGCCAGGGGTGCATCATGTTTTGTGTCTGCTTGTGGCTCTTCACCGTTATTTGCGTGTTACGGCCTCTGTAGCAGAGGAATGCGCTTTGGGTTGACCCAGTTTCCCTTCCCTACTCCAGGGCGTGGGTCTCCCAGGCTGTTCGCAGGATTATTGCGGTCTTTCCCAGTGCCCACGCAGTTCGCAAGTTTGGCATTCGACTGCTGTTTTGATAATGTCCTTGGGGCCCGGGGACATCTATCTTTTTCTATCTTTTGGGCACGGGGCTATTGGAGATTGAACAGGGTCCTGGCTGCATGTTACCTTCTTAATGTTCTTAGTTCTTCTTGGACGTGTATAGCCTTGGGTCGCAGGTTGCGGCTTGTATTCTCGACCTTGAGTTGAGGCGCGAGTGACGACCGCCTCCCAGGTGAGTCCCTTTTCTTCTTTGGTTAGGTAGCGCCGGGAAGATGAAGGGGCTCTCCACAGAAAACCAGTGTTGAATGTAATGAAACGCCATGGGTGAGACACGGACGCTCCCCGGCATCCCTCTCTCCCTCTGGTCGGTGGAGGGAGAGAAGGCAGAACCGGGTCACACACGAGGAAACAAAGCCCCCTGAACCCACAAAGGGGACCCAGGAGGAAGAAACCTCCAGAACGAAACCAAAGAACCCAAAAGAAACCCGGAAACGAACCAGGGGGAGCCCAAACCACCACATTTGCCAGCGGAGATACCTCACAGAAAGGCAAAGCACAGCCCCCTGACAGAACTCCCAGGGAAACTGAGGGACAAGGTGTGGGAGCAAGCATAACAGCCAGGGACACTGAGCCCAAGGGCCCAGACCCAAAACAGACAAAATGGAAAACCCGGTGTAAAATGAACACTCAAACGTTCCCAGAGGAACAGGAAACGGACAGAAAAGCAAAGAGACGACAACAGGAGAATAAAACCCCTGAAAAAGGGTGAAAACTCACCCCAGACGCTCGCTTGCACACCCAGGCGCATGTAAACAAACCGCAACGCTGCCCTGGTGGCCACGCCGGGAAACCGGCAGAAGAAAATGGCCACCAAAACAGAGGGTTGTGACCGATGCAAAAGATACGAAAACATGCCAGCAAAAGTGGGAAGCAAGCAGACTGGATGGGCAAAAAACTCTGCCCAAAAGCAGAAACCTCAGGGAGGGGCAAACCACCCCAGAACTGCTAGCAGGCATCCCCCACAGCCCTGGGAACTAGCAACAGAGGCTTCGGGGCAGAGCCGTCCTCCAAGCCCTCCGCCCTTAAAGAAAAGGAAGAGTCCATGGGAAAGGCAGCAAGAAAGGGCCGCTGGTAAGACTCAGAAGCCTTGGCAGGAGGAACAGGCCCGAAAACCTCCGTCCCCAACACGAACGGGGCAGCCCCCGAAAACCGCCCGAGTCTCGGCCCCAACTAAACCCCACCCCGACCCCGAAACCAGCAGACGGTCTGGAGCCAGGAACAGGGAGGGAAAGGGGCGAACAGCACCTAACCAAAACGGGGCGGCCTCGGGGCATCCGAGTGGGAAACCAACCTAACGTGTTGCAGCAACTTAACCTAGCTTGCAAAATGGATGCCGCCTGTACTCTGAACAGTAATAACATCAGGAGAGTACTGGAGACCAAGCAGAGAATCTCTCTTGCAAGACTCTGGGTCAAGGTGTCAGTGACCCAACAGGCAGCATGACAGAGGTAAAAGTGGCGACTGTCACCCAGAGACAAGGGTACAGCAACCAACGATCCCGTACAAGACGGGTTGGAACCTGGAAGACACATTCACCGAACCCAGACAGGGGTTTCCAGGGCCCGTAGGCTGACTGCTACGGGAAACCCAGACAAGGTGTTGCTAACCGGTTAAGAAACCCAAAAATAACAAGAGGGTAGAGGATAGCACTGAAAACCCATTCAGGCTTGTTTGCATTTGTGTTCCTCACGCGTGCCCCAAAGAATGAGGTGATTTGATAAAATGCTATGCCCAAGATTACCATCCGAGTGCCAGCGGAGAAGTGGTTCATATAGCTTCGGCTATCACTTCCTTTTGTCCGGTCGTGATGGTCAAGCGGATTAAGGCGTCCTGTAGTTACCAGTTGCATTGCTCCTGGGAGTATGGATTCGAGTCACTTCTGGGGGTGTGAGTTTTCAGTCACATATAGTCCTGGGGACCATTCAGGCTTGTTTGCATTTGTGTCCCTCACGTGTGCCCCAAAGAATGAGGTGATTTGATAAAATGCTATGCCCAAGATTACCATCCGAGTGCCGGCGGGGAAGTGGTTACATATATATATATAACCTGGTTTGGAGTGGGGAATAAAATTGTGTCCTCACTTGTGATCAACCTGAGTGCCCCAACTGTATTGCCTTCTTCAATTTTCTTGCTGACTTGGATACTTAATTTTCTATTGTCACTGAGGGTCTTACTTTGTCTGCCAAGGCAGTGTTTGGGGAGGAGGATTAATTTGTCAGCCCTAGGAAAATCCCTAACTGCTTTATTGACGGATGAGGCCATTGTCTTGCTTCCTCTGCCTAGTACTCCTAAGCATGCGTTGCCAAAAAGTAGCAAATTGTGCCAGGCTTTGATGGTGCCTGGTTCATCAAGGGTATTTGACCCTCTGTTGACTTTTCTGATGAGGTCCATGTATTTCCCGGCAGCAAATAGGCGAGATGCCTTTGGGATGTGGGTGAGTGTCCTGGTTGATGTTGCTTTAACTGGAGCAACGAAAAGGAGGTGGGATGGAGGGGGTAGGGGGGACACAGGAGAGGGTAGCGGAGACATGGGAGAGGGTAAGGGGGACACTGGAGAGGGGGATTGTAAGGAGATGGGAGGAGAGGGGAGGATGGGGAGAGAAAGGGGGAAAAATGGGGAAGATGGGAGGGAAGGAGGAGAGGAATGGGTAGAAAGGGAGGGACAGAAAGAGGGGTAAAGGCGGGTGGGGAAGGGAGAGAGAGAGAGAAAGACTATCCCGGGCACCACCGGGTACCCCTCCTAGCGGAAGATAAAACAGGATGGTAAGAACAATGACTGGTCCCATACACTCCTGTGGAAGATTACATGTAAAGCTAAGACACTGTGTTCCCATGTAGGCCTATGGAAGGTAAGTGGGAGATGCAAGAACAGCACCTAGTCACATGTAGGCTTACGGAAGGTAAGTGGGAGAGGCAAGAATAATTCTGGTCCCATATAGGCCTACGGAAGATTAGTGGGAGAGGCAAGAACAGCGCCTGGTCCCATGTAAGCCTACGGAAGGTTAGTGGGAGAGGCAAGAATAATTCTGGTCCCATATAGGCCTATGGAAGATTAGTGGGAGAGGCAAGAACAGCGCCTGGTCCCATGTAAGCCTACGGAAGGTTAGTGGAGAGGCAAGAACAATGCCTGGTCCCTTGTAAGCCTACGGAAGGTTAGTGGGAGAGGCAAGAACAACGTCTGGTCCCGTGTAAGCCGACGGAAGATTAGTGGGAGAGGCAAGAACAATGCCTGGTCCCGTGTAAGCCTACGGAAGGTTAGTGGGAGAGGCAAGAACAATGCCTGGTCCCTTGTAAGCCTACGGAAGGTTAGTGGAGAGGCAAGAACAATGCCTGGTCCCTTGTAAGCCTACGGAAGGTTAGTGGAGAGGCAAGAACAATGCCTGGTCCCTTGTAAGCCTACGGAAGGTTAGTGGGAGAGGCAAGAACAATGCCTGGTCCCTTGTAAGCCTACGGAAGGTTAGTGGGAGAGGCAAGAACAATGCCTGGTCCCTTGTAAGCCTACGGAAGGTTAGTGGGAGAGGCAAGAACAATGCCTGGTCCCTTGTAAGCCTACGGAAGGTTAGTGGGAGAGGCAAGAACAATGCCTGGTCCCTTGTAAGCCTACGGAAGGTTAGTGGGAGAGGCAAGAACAATGCCTGGTCCCTTGTAAGCCTACGGAAGGTTAGTGGGAGAGGCAAGAACAATGCCTGGTCCCTTGTAAGCCTACGGAAGGTTAGTGGGAGAGGCAAGAACAATGCCTGGTCCCTTGTAAGCCTACGGAAGGTTAGTGGGAGAGGCAAGAACAATGCCTGGTCCCATGTAAGACTACGGAAGGTTAGTGGGAGAGGCAAGAACAACGTCTGGTCCCATGTAAGCCTACGGAAGGTTAGTGGGAGAGGCAAGAACAACGTCTGGTCCCATGTAAGCCTACGGAAGGTTAGTGGGAGAGGCAAGAACAAGAAAGGTGTCCAATTAAACTGTAAAATGGGAGAGCTGAGAAGTCAAGAGCTTGTACAAGCAATATGGCTGAACACAAGCTACTGGACAAACATAAGTCTTGGGACAAACAGAAGCTATAACACAAAGAAGAGCCGTGTAACAAACAATTGCTGATAAACAAATTTATGGTTGCATCAGTGTAATTCATAAAAATCAATGAACATACATAGACAGTTAGACAGCTTTTCGTTTATCAAATATTATATTCATTTAATTGTAGAGGTTTTACTAGAATGTGTCAAGCTTAGCTATTACGTAAGATGATACAAACTAACACACCTGGGTGTGATCTGGCTGTTCAACCTTGAGCCACTTTTCTTGGTGAGGGAAGGCGGTCAGCTGGTAGTCATCAACAGACACATTAAGGGCAGCTCCAGCACTGGACGAGATCAACACCTTGTGGGTCTTGAAGAGGACGCTCAGGGCTTCAGTACAGAGAGTGATGGGCTCTGTGGTACACCGCTTGTTGTGCACGATAACCTGTTTCCCACCACATCAATGGTCTTTATTTAGTGATGCACATATGGCCATGAATATATCATATGCAAACAATGTAAGATACATTTTCATAGTGTAATTAGTTAATGAATATATATAACTGTGATTGTCATATTTTGCTCAACACCACACAATACACACCAACACCACACAACACACACCAACACCACACAACACACACCAACACCACACAACACACACCAACACCACACAACACACACCAACACCACACAACACACACCAACACCACACAACACACACCAACACCACACAACACACACCAACACCACACAACACACACCAACACCACACAACACACACCAACACCACACAACACACACCAACACCACACAACACACACCAACACCACACAACACACACCAACACCACACAACACACACCAACACCACACAACACACACCAACACCACACAACACACACCAACACCACACAACACACACCAACACCACACAACACACACCAACACCACACAACACACACCAACACCACACAACACACACCAACACCACACAACACACACCAACACCATATAACACACCATACCGTGAAAGATTTTATCAAACAAAATTTATGGCCAAATTATTAACTCTCTTAAATATGAACCAATAATTAATCCAGAGTAACAGAGAATTACACTGGCACTTAAAAACCATCGAAGAAGAAATGACGGAACTCCTACATTTTCGTTTATATTTTATGTATGAATAATAAAATTACACAAGTACAGTGAGAAACTTATTATGATTAATAATATTAATAATGACAATAATATTAATAGTGTAATATAATAAAACAAACAATATCGAGATGTAACATAACCAACACAGGATTTTCATTAATTGAACATTCCACACTCTTCAAGAACACTACCCTGGAACACGCACCTGGAAATGGCGGGAGTCAAAGTGGTTCTTGTGCTGCACAGCCACATACGAACACTCCCCATTAAAGGTGTACTTGTGTTGATCAAAGGTGGTGTAGTGGGGGTCACCGTAGCCTTCACACACGCAGTCCTTGCACGCGTCTGGCGTCACGCACTTGCTTCCTTTGCGAACATATCCATCTGCACAGAAGCAGCCGGAGTTGCAAGGTCCCACCCTTTCGTTGCAAAGCTTTTCATCGTGCAAATTCTCGCATTGCTGCTCACACTCGAAGGGGAAGCAGTCGTAGTAGCTTTCTCCTGGGCCACATTCCTTACCTGTAGCACATATGGCCTTTTATATATATAAATAACTGTATATAATATATATATAATATATATGCATTATCATTTTTGTATCAACCCATGTATATCTTGTAACCATCAAATGCATAATAAAGCACAAAATATATATATATATATATATATATATATATATATATATATATATATATATATATATATATATATATATATATATATATATATATATTTTTTTTTTTTTGTGCTTTATTATGCATTTGATGGTTACAAGATATACATGGGTTGATACAAAAATGATAATGCAAAAAGGTGCTTAAAGGTTATGGATCTCTTGAAAAACACAACAATGGGAAACATTGATGAATGTCACAGACGGGTTCGATCATTGTTGCAAGTCAAACACTTCTTCGAATTCCTCTGAAGTTGGACTAGTGCCCAAGACGCAACAGGCATTTCCCCTCTGAATCGCAACACTGAGGCGCTGGAACAAGAAACTTTTTGCTCTCTGGTCTTTTGTAGCGCTGATGAATACACACAGAAACTGTATTGGAGGAGATCTAAACACTCCCTCTAATGCGTTATGCGTGGTTTCCTCCGAGGCTATGGGTCCCCCTTCTTCCAGCTAGAGGTGGTACTCCCTTCCCTTTATATATATATATATATATATATATATATATATATATATATATATATATATATATATATATATATATATATATATATATATGTTGTACCTAGTAGCCAGAACGTCGTACTTGGCCTACTATGCAAGGCCCGTTTTGGTTAATAAGCCAAGTTTTCCTGAATTAATATATTTTCTCTAATTTTTTCTTATGAAATGATAAAGCTACCCATTTCATTATGTAAGAGGTCAATTTTTTTTATTGGAGTTAAAATTAACGTAGATATATGACCGAACCTAACCAACCCTACCTAACCTAACCTAGCCTATCTTTATATGTTAGGTTAGGTTAGGTAGCCGAAAAAGTTAGGTTAGGTTAGGTAGGTTAGGTAGGTTAGATAGTCGAGAAACAATTAATTCATGAAAACTTGGCTTATTAGGCAAATTGGGCCTTGCATAGTAGGCTGAGAAGTGCGTTCTGGCTACTAGGTACAACATATATATATATATATATATATATATATATATATATATATATATATATATATATATATGTCGTACCTAGTAGCCAGAACGCACTTCTCAGCCTACTATGCATGGCCCGATTTGCCTAATAAGCCAAGTTTTCATGAATTAATATATTTTCTCTAATTTTTTTCTTATGAAATGATAAAGCTACCCATTTCATTATGTATGAGGTTAATTTTTTTTATTGGAGTTAAAATTAACGTAAATATATGACCGAACCTAACCAACCCTACCTGACCTAACCTAACCTATCTTTATAGGTTAGGTTAGGTTAGGTAGCAGAAAAAGTTAGGTTAGGTTAGGTTAGGTAGGTTAGGTAGTCGAAAAACAATTAATTCAAGAAAACTTGGCTTATTAGGCAAATCGGGCCTTGCATAGTAGGCTGAGAAGTGCGTTCTGGCTACTAGGTACGACATATATATATATATATATATATATATATATATATATATATATATATATATATATATATATATATATATATATATATTTTTTCAGTTGCATATGTCCTGGGGACCATTCAGGCTTCTTCGCATATATATATATATATATATATTATTAAATATGACCGAAAAAGTAAGATTAATAATTCTAACAGGAATTTTCTCAATCTTTCGTACATTGCGCTTCACTGTTGGAGGTAAATCAAAAATCAATTCTCCAAAATTCATTTTTATTTCTAGTCTGACGCGACACGGGCGCGTTTCGTAAAACTTATTACATTTTCAAAGACTTTAGTTCACAAATACACAACTGATTAGAACTTACGTATCTCCGATTTTATATCTACATTTGAGTGAGGTGGGAGGGGTGATGTGGCATTAACACAAGACAGAACAAGAGGGGATATTAATAGGGTATTAAAAGTATCAACACAAGACAGAACACAAACAATGGGTATTGAATAGAAGTGTTTGTAGAAAGCCTATTGGTCCATATTTCTTGATGCTTCTATATTGGAGTGGAGTCTTGAGGTGGGTAGAATATAGTTGTGCAATAATTGGCTGTTGATTGCTGGTGTTGACTTCTTGATGTGTAGTGCCTCGCAAACGTCAAGCCGCCTGCTATCGCTGTATCTATCGATGATTTCTGTGTTGTTTACTAGGATTTCTCTGGCAATGGTTTGGTTGTGGGAAGAGATTATATGTTCCTTAATGGAGCCCTGTTGCTTATGCATCGTTAAACGCCTAGAAAGAGATGTTGTTGTCTTGCCTATATACTGGGTTTTTTGGAGCTTACAGTCCCCAAGTGGGCATTTGAAGGCATAGACGACGTTAGTCTCTTTTAAAGCGTTCTGTTTTGTGTCTGGAGAGTTTCTCATGAGTAGGCTGGCCGTTTTTCTGGTTTTATAGTAAATCGTCAGTTGTATCCTCTGATTTTTGTCTGTAGGGATAACGTTTCTATTAACAATATCTTTCAGGACCCTTTCCTCCGTTTTATGAGCTGTGGAAAAGAAGTTCCTGTAAAATAGTCTAATAGGGGGTATAGGTGTTGTGTTAGTTGTCTCTTCAGAGGTTGCATGGCTTTTCACTTTCCTTCTTATGATGTCTTCGATGAAACCATTGGAGAAGCCGTTATTGACTAGGACCTGCCTTACCCTACAGAGTTCTTCGTCGACTTGCTTCCATTCTGAGCTGTGGCTGAGAGCACGGTCGACATATGCGTTAACAACACTCCTCATGTACCTGTCAGGGCAGTCGCTGTTGGCATTTAGGCACATTCCTATGTTTGTTTCCTTAGTGTAGACTGCAGTGTGGAAACCTCCGCCCTTTTCCATGACTGTTACATCTAGAAAGGGCAGCTTCCCATCCTTTTCCATCTCGTAAGTGAAACGCAGCACGGAACTCTGCTCAAATGCCTCCTTCAGCTCCTGCAGATGTCTGACATCAGGTACCTGTGTAAAAATGTCGTCAACATACCTGCAGTATATGGCCGGTTTCAAGTTCATGTCGACTAAGACTTTTTGCTCGATGGTACCCATGTAGAAGTTTGCAAACAGGACACCTAGGGGAGAACCCATGGCGACCCCATCTACTTGCTTATACATGTGCCCATCCGGGCTCAAGAAGAGTGCCTCTTTAGTACAAGCTTGGAGTAGTTTCCTCAGAATATTTTCTGGCATGTCAAGAGGAGTACAGGCTGGATCACGATACACTCTGTCGGCTATCATTCCGATTGTCTCGTCCACAGGTACGTTGGTAAACAGCGATTCTACGTCCAACGAGGCTCTTATCCCTGTGGCCCGTGTGCCCCGCAGTAAGTCAACAAATTCCTTTGGAGACTTCAGGCTGAAGGCGCAAGGAACATAAGGAGTCAGCAGGCCGTTGAGTCGCTTCGCCAGTCTGTACGTGGGTGTGGGTATCTGGCTAATGATTGGCCGAAGTGGGTTTCCAGGCTTGTGCGTCTTGACATTTCCATACGCATATCCAGGTTTATATTCCCCAATGATCTTTGGCAGGTGGAGTCCGGATTTCTTGGCGTTCACAGTTTCGGTCAGTTTGTTGACCTTTGCTTTTAATTCGGCTGTAGTGTCCTTCGTTACCCTTTGGAACTTAGTTTGGTCAGAGAGTATGATGTTCATTTTCGCCAGATATTCGTCTTTTTTAAGAATGACATATATTGGCGACTTGTCACCTCTCCTGACAACTATCTCCTTGTTCTCACGAAGACTTTTAGCTGCCGCTTTAAGCTCGGGGGACAGTATGGTGCTTCTGTAGTTGCCTCGATTCTTTCCTCCTTCTGCAATAAGTTCTGCTTGTAAGGTATCTTTGGTAGTGACCTTCTTTTGTGCCTCGAGGTCGAATATGTCGTCCATATACTGCAGGTACGTTGACGACATTTTTACACAGGTACCTGATGTCAGACATCTGCAGGAGCTGAAGGAGGCATTTGAGCAGAGTTCCGTGCTGCGTTTCACTTACGAGATGGAAAAGGATGGGAAGCTGCCCTTTCTAGATGTAACAGTCATGGAAAAGGGCGGAGGTTTCCACACTGCAGTCTACACTAAGGAAACAAACATAGGAATGTGCCTAAATGCCAACAGCGACTGCCCTGACAGGTACAAGAGGAGTGTTGTTAACGCATATGTCGACCGTGCTCTCAGCCACAGCTCAGAATGGAAGCAAGTCGACGAAGAACTCTGTAGGGTAAGGCAGGTCCTAGTCAATAACGGCTTCTCCAATGGTTTCATCGAAGACATCATAAGAAGGAAAGTGAAAAGCCATGCAACCTCTGAAGAGACAACTAACACAACACCTATACCCCCTATTAGACTATTTTACAGGAACTTCTTTTCCACAGCTCATAAAACGGAGGAAAGGGTCCTGAAAGATATTCTTAATAGAAACGTTATCCCTACAGACAAAAATCAGAGGATACAACTGACGATTTACTATAAAACCAGAAAAACGGCCAGCCTACTCATGAGAAACTCTCCAGACACAAAACAGAATGCTTTAAAAGAGACTAACGTCGTCTATGCCTTCAAATGCCCACTTGGGGACTGTAAGCTCCAAAAAACCCAGTATATAGGCAAGACAACAACATCTCTTTCTAGGCGTTTAACGATGCATAAGCAACAGGGCTCCATTAAGGAACATATAATCTCTTCCCACAACCAAACCATCGCCAGAGAAATCCTAGTAAACAACACAGAAATCATCGATAGATACAGCGATAGCAGGCGGCTTGACGTTTGCGAGGCACTACACATCAAGAAGTCAACACCAGCAATCAACAGCCAATTATTGCACAACTATATTCTACCCACCTCAAGACTCCGCTCCAATATAGAAGCATCAAGAAATATGGACCAATAGGCTTTCTACAAACACTTCTATTCAATACCCATTGTTTGTGTTCTGTCTTGTGTTGATACTTTTAATACCCTATTAATATCCCCTCTTGTTCTGTCTTGTGTTAATGCCACATCACCCCTCCCACCTCACTCAAATGTAGATATAAAATCGGAGATACGTAAGTTCTAATCAGTTGTGTATTTGTGAACTAAAGTCTTTGAAAATGTAATAAGTTTTACGAAACGCGCCCGTGTCGCGTCAGACTAGAAATAAAAATGAATTTTGGAGAATTGATTTTTGATTTACCTCCAACAGTGAAGCGCAATGTACGAAAGATTGAGAAAATTCGTGTTAGAATTATTAATCTTACTTTTTCGGTCATATTTAATAATATATGTCTACAGGAAAGACTGCTACCAAAATATACTAATATATATATATATATATATATATATATATATATATATATATATATATATATATATATATATATATATATATATATATATATATATATATATATGTCGTACCTAGTAGCCAGAACGCACTTCTCAGCCAACTATGCAAGGCCTGATTTGCCTAATAAGCCAAGTTTTCATGAATTAATTGTTTTTCGACTACCTAACCTACCTAACCTAACCTAACCTAACTTTTTCGGTTACCTAACCTAACCTAACCTGCAAAGATAGGTTAGGTTAGGTTAGGTAGGGTTGGTTAGGTTCGGTCATATATCTACGTTAATTTTAACTCCAAAAAAAAAAATTGACCTCACACGTAATGAAATGGGTAGCTTTATCATTTCATAAGAAAAAAATTAGAGAAAACATATTATTTCAGGAAAACTTGGCTTATTAGGCAAATCGGGCCTTGCATAGTAGGCTGAGAAGTGCGTTCTGGCTACTAGGTACGACATATATATATATATATATATATATATATATATATATATGTCGTACCTAGTAGCCAGAACGCACTTCTCAGCCTACTATGCAAGGCCCAATTTGCCTAATAAGCCAAGTTTTCATGAATTAATTGTTTTTCCACTATCTAACCTACCTAACCTAACCTAACCTAACTTTTTCGGCTACCTAACCCAACCTAACCTATAGAGATAGGTTAGGTTAGGTTAGGTAGGGTTGGTTAGGTTAGGTCATATATCTACGTTAATTTTAACTCCAATAAAAAAAAATTGACCTCATACATAATGAAATGAGTAGCTTTATCATTTCATAAGAAAAAAATTTGAGAAAATATATTAATTCAGGAAAACTTGGCTTATTAGGCAAATCAGGCCTTGCATAGTAGGCTGAGAAGTGCGTTCTGGCTACTAGGTACGACATATATATATATATATATATATATATATATATATATATCCAGATAGATGAATGGATATATCCATTTATCCATTCATCTATCTGTCCCTGTCCATCCACCTATCCATACATATATCCACTGTCTGTCACTCTCTCTCTCTCTTAATTTAAACTAAGACTAGGGTTCATAAGGGCTGTCAAATGACATACCTAGTGAAATTGCAAGCAAGAGCTGTTATCCTACCTCATCTCATCTGAAGCCTGCTCCTAGAAACTCATTTTGTTTCACAAGAATGTAATTTGAATCTATCACATTGGGAACTATCATAAAGAAACTATCATATAAGGAACCTGGTGAAACTGCAAGTAAGAGCTGTACTCCTACCTCAGCTCAGTTGAAACCTTTGCCTAGCGATCCATTTATTTCATGAGCCTGTTATATGCATCAGTAGGAATAGCCTTTATTCATTAAAAACATTAGGTAACAATCATATAAGGAACAGGATGAGCCTGTAGCCAACAGTGTGCCAGAGAAACTGTGTGCCTTCTCCCTCTCTCTAAAACTGTAACTGTGTAATGTGTGGGTGGTTGCCAGTGAGATGAGCTTAGTGGTGTGATATACTACAATAACAAAAACTAAGAAAAGAATAAATGAGCAGACTCACGGCAGTTGGCCTGGATCCGCCAGTTGTGGACTGGAGCACTAGGGTTCCTCTCCTGGCACTGTTCCACATAGTGAGAGAGAGCATCGCAGCGGCACTCGCCCTGGACTGTTTCATTACTCAGGCACTCACAAGTTGTCTCTGCACACACCTTCATCACGTGCTCTGGGTTGAGGGTATCGTGGCAGCCGGTGAACGGCTGCGTACTGTCACACGCCCAAGCATACCACACACGTTGAACTTATTGATTATACTGAATTATATTATGCTAAAGCATTTAATATGAGTTTTCCTGTCATCAGGCATGAAACAGAAGTGACATTTATATAAATAGAGAGCGGATGAGAATTTATTACAGTTTGATAATAAAATATAGAAGTAATAAGTTGTTACTTATATTATGTAATTATTGCTGATAATTAATGCTTAAATTACATAATTATTTAAGTTATTGTAGAGGTGATATTTCTTTTCCACACGAGAGATGACCCAACTCTCCCACATGGGAGATGACCCAACACACCCATATGGGAAACGACCCGACTCTCCCACACGGGAGATGACCAGGCCCTCCCACACAGGAGATGACCAGACTCTTCCACACAGGAGATGACCAGACCCTCCCACACAGGAGATGACCAGGCCCTCCCACACAGGAGATGACCAGGCCCTCCCACACAGGAGATGACCAGACCCTCCCACACAGGAGATGACCAGGCCCTCCCACACAGGAGATGACCAGACCCTCCCACACAGGAGATGACCAGACCCTCCCACACAGGAGATGACCAGGCCCTCCCACACAGGAGATGACCAGGCCCTCCCACACAGGAGATGACCAGACCCTCCCACACAGGAGATGACCAGACCCTCCCACACAGGAGATGACCAGGCCCTCCCACACAGGAGACGACCCAAGTCTCCCACACACACGGGAGACGACCCGCTTCTCCCACACACACACACACTGGAGATGACCTAACTCTCCCACACGCACATGGGAGAAGACCCAACTGTCCCACACACACGGGAGATGACCCAACTCTCCCACACACACGGGAGATGACCCAACTCTCCCACACATACGGAGACGACCCAACTCTCCCACACACACGAGACGATCCAACTCTCCCATACACATGGGAGACGATCCAACTCTCCCATACACACACAGGAGATGACCCAACTCTCCCACATGGGAGATGACTCAACTCTCCCACACACACGGGAGACAACCGAACTCTCCCACACGGGAGACGACCAAACTCTCCCACACACATGGGAGATGACCCAACTCCACACACACACACTGGCTGAACACAAGGTATCATCTGGGAGGTGAAATCCTGCAAGAGTCAAATAGAGAGAAAGATCTGAGGGTTGATATCACACCGAACCTGTCCCCAGAGGCCCACATCAAAAGAATATCATCAGCGGCATATGCTAAACTGGCCAACATAAGAACTGCCTTTAGAAACTTGTGTAAGGAATCATTCAGAACCCTGTATACCACTTATGTAAGACCAATCCTGGAGTATGCAGCTCCAGTCTGGAGTCTATACCTAGTTAAACACAAGAAAAAGCTAGAGAAGATTCAGCGGTATGCCACCAGGCTCGTCCCGGAACTGAGAGGAATGAGCTACGAGGAAAGGCTAAAGGAGCTGAACCTCACATCCCTGGAAAACAGAAGAGTACGGGGAGACATGATAACCACCTACAAAATTCTCAGGGGAATTGACAGGGTGGACAAATACAAACAATTCAGCACGGGTGGAACATGAACAAGGGGACACAGATGAGCCACAGAGACGTTAGAAAGAATTTTTTCAGTGTCAGAGTAGTTAATAAATGGAATGCACTAGGCAGTTATGTGGTGGAGGCTGACTCCATACACAGTTTCAAATGTAGATATGATAGAGCCTAGTAGGCTCAGGAATCTGTACACCAGTTGATTGACAGTTGAGAGGCGGGACCAAAGAGCCAAAGCTCAACCCCCGCTAGCACAATTAGGTGAGTACGGGAGATGATCCAACTCTCCCACACACACACAGAGATGACCAATATGCACTCACCGGATATCACTGCACAGTCTAAGTGCTTCCTCATTAGCACTCTTGGTGCATGTCACCTCCTTACAGATGTCGTCACCGATGGCCCAAGACTTGATAAAGTCTTTGGTGGTGGCGGCCAGAGTGCCGTCAGGCTTGGACTTATCGTCGGCCGAGTACCCAGTGAAGTAGCCACACAGTCCGTCTACCTTGTACATGAGCTCCTCCTTCACCTGTCCACCGAGCACACACACTATTTAAATCCATAGGTTAAGGCAATCATAAAAAGTGTATAACTAGAATTTATGTTATCTAATATGAATTTAAATTTAATAGAGAATTAATACCAGTACTATGTTAATATATGTAATTAAAAATGAAGCAAATTTAATTTTAAAACAACTAAAAGTATTTTAATTATTAACGTTCTGTACAAATAAACGTCTGTGCTGTACAAATAAATGTCTGTGCTGTACAAATAAACGTCTGTGCTGTACAAATAAACGTCTGTGCTGTACAAATAAACGTCTGTGCTGTACAAATAAACGTGTGTGCTGTACAAATAAACGTCTGTGCTGTACAAATAAACGTCTGTGCTGTACAAATAAACGTCTGTGCTGTACAAATAAACGTCTGTGCTGTACAAATAAACGTCTGTGCTGTACAAATAAACGTCTGTGCTGTACAAATAAACTGTCTATGCTGTACAAATAAACGTCTGTGCTGTACAAATAAACGTCTGTGCTGTACAAATAAACGTGTGTGCTGTAGAAATAAACTGTCTATGCTGTACAAATAAACGTCTGTGCTGTACAAATAAACGTGTGTGCTGTACAAATAAACTGTCTATGCTGTACAAATAAACCGTCTGTGCTTCGTTAATCGTCGGGAGCATCTTCAGCCTAGTCGTCGGGAGCATCTTCAGCCTAGTCGTCGGGAGCATCTTCAGCCTAGTCGTCGGGAGCATCTTCAGCCTAGTCGTCGGGAGCATCTTCAGCCTAGTCGTCGGGAGCATCTTCAGCCTAGTCGTCGGGAGCATCTTCAGCCTAGTCGTCGGGAGCATCTTCAGCCTAGTCGTCAGGAGCATCTTCAGCCTAGTCGTTGGGAGCATCTTCAGCCTAGTCGTCAGGAGCATCTTCAGCCTAGTCGTCGGGAGCATCTTCAGCCTAGTCGTCGGGAGCATCTTCAGCCTAGTCGTCGGGAGCATCTTCAGCCTAGTCGTCGGGAGCATCTTTAGCCTAGTCGTCGGGAGCATCTTTAGCCTAGTCGTCGGGAACATCTTCAGCCTAGTCGTCGGGAGCATCTTCAGCCTAGTCGTCGGGAGCATCTTCAGCCTTAGTCGTCGGGAGCATCTTTAGCCTAGTCGTGGGCATCTTCTGGAAGTTTGATCTCTTGTTCCTTACAGCTTCAATTGTCATTTTCACAATTTTTGTGTGATTCACTTCTGAGGTTTAGTTGTTTATTTCCGTCTCAGTTTCATCTATTTCAGATGCCTTATGTTCACTGTACTTCCCCCTTCTTCCCCCTCTCTCTATAATTTTCATATTTTTCTGTCTATAACATTGCATTATAAGCTTGTTAAGGACACTGGTTTGTAATTAATTAGTTTCTGTCTACTTTCTTTAATATTTGTGCGGTATATAACTCCTTCCAGTTATGGTGCCGCTCCTTCTCCAGTGACCCACTGGAGATTGTCGTATGAGGATTACCCACTTCTTGAGAAGCTTCTATTCAGGTCCATAGTGAGATGCTGTGAAGTTCCTGCACATCATCTTTTAACATCTTCCTATTTCCCCTGCAAGTGTACTTATACAGGTCTGAGTCCCTCTGTCCTGTGTTTCTTGCCAACCTTTTGTGTCCCCTCGTCCTGGTCCCTCCCCTTGTATCCCCTTGTCCTGGTCCCTCCCCTGGTGTCCCCTCATCCTGGTCCCTCCACTTGTGTCCCCTCGTCCTGGTCCCTCCACTTGTGTCCCCTCGTCCTGGTCCCTCCACTTGTGTCCCTTTGTCCTGGTCCCTCCCCTTGTATCCCCTTGTCCTGGTCCCTCCCCTGGTGTCTCCTCATCCTGGTCCCTCCCCTCATGTCCCCTCGTCCTGGTCCCTCCCCTTGTGACTTGACCGTGTCGTAGGACAGCTTTGTCATTATAAACTTGGAGATAGTTATAATTGCTATACAGTATTTTGAACATCTGTTCAAGTATCTACTAAAATAAAAAATAGGTTATACTTACGGTGATTTCAACATTCATGTGAACATCCCAAGTAACTGTGAAGCCATAAGTCTCTGAGGTGAAATAAATGGTGGAGCTCTTGAGCATCTTGATCGTGAAGCCATTCAAAGACCCAATTTTCTTTGCCTTTGGATTATCAGAAATTCATAGCTAGTGATTTAAAATTTCCACAAAAATATTAATGTCAAGTATACCTTATATTTGTAAGCAAGTTAATACATCATTGACTACTCATATGAAGGTATGGGAATAGATCCCTTTATAGAATATTATAGGGAATATTATAGAAATTATAGGGAATAGATAGATTTAACACAAGGAAAATATTTGGTACTAGTTATTTTTTGGGGGGTTATATATTCCAATATATTTAATAGAGGTGGCAGACTTACCTGATCAACAGTGTAGTTATAGTTGCTCCAGGAGACAGTCAGGTCTCGATAGAGGACTAACTGTTTGTTGTCTTGTGTGATGGTGAGGAAGCCATCACACCCTCTGGTCCTCTGCTCAGTACAACCTCTGTGCGCTGTCAAAGGTATTCGTCTATGTCAACACGATAGGTTAGGTTAGCCTAGCAACAGCAGTCCATAAGTTAAGTCTGGTTAGGTAAGGCCTAGAAAACTAGCTAGGCAATGTTTGGTTATGTTAGATTTGGTTCGCCCTGGTCTGGTTTGATTAGGTTAAGATAGGTTACAATAGGTTAAGATAGGTTAGGTTAGGTAGTTAGGCTAGGTTAAGGTTAGGTTAGGCTAAGTTAAGGTTTAGTTAGGCTAGGTTAAGGTTAGGTTAGGCTAAGTTAAGGTTTAGTTAGGCTAGGTTAAGGTTAGGTTAGGCTAAGTTAAGGTTTAGTTAGGCTAAGTTAAGGTTTAGTTAGGCTAGGTTAAGGTTTAGTTAGGCTAGGTTAAGGTTTAGTTAAGCTAGGTTAAGGTTTAGTTAGGCTAGGTTAAGGTTTAGTTAGGCTAGGTTAAGGTTTTGCTAGGCTAGGTTAAGGTTTAGTTAGGCTAGGTTAAGGTTTAGTTAGGCTAGGTTAAGGTTTAGTTAGGCTAGGTTAAGGTTTAGTTAGGCTAGGTTAAGGTTTTGTTAGGCTAGGTTAAGGTTTTGTTAGGCTAGGTTAAGGTTTAGTTAGGCTAGGTTAAGGTTTTGTTAGGCTAGGTTAAGGTTTTGTTAGGCTAGGTTAAGGTTTTGTTAGGCTAGGTTAAGGTTTTGTTAGGCTAGGTTAAGGTTTTGTTAGGCTAGGTTAAGGTTTTGTTAGGCTAGGTTAAGGTTTTGTTAGGCTAGGTTAAGGTTTTGTTAGGCTAGGTTAAGGTTTTGTTAGGCTAGGTTAAGGTTTTGTTAGGCTAGGTTAAGGTTTTGTTAGGCTAGGTTAAGGTTTTGTTAGGCTAGGTTAAGGTTTTGTTAGGCTAGGTTAAGGTTTTGTTAGGCTAGGTTAAGGTTTTGTTAGGCTAGGTTAAGGTTTTGTTAGGCTAGGTTAAGGTTTTGTTAGGCTAGGTTAAGGTTTTGTTAGGCTAGGTTAAGGTTTTGTTAGGCTAGGTTAAGGTTTTGTTAGGCTAGGTTAAGGTTAGGTTAGGCTAGGTTAAGGTTAGGTTAGGCTAGGTTAAGGTTAGGTTAGGCTAGGTTAAGGTTTTGTTAGGCTAGGTTCAGGTTAGGTTAGGCTAGGTTAAGGTTAGGTTAGGCTAGGTTAAGGTTTTGTTAGGCTAGGTTCAGGTTAGGTTAGGCTAGGTTCAGGTTAGGTTAGGCTAGGTTAAGGTTTTGTTATGCTAAGTTAAGGTTTGGTTAGGCTAGGTTAACGTATTGCTAGGTAGGCAAAGGCAATGTATAGATAATTCATAATATCTGGTTGCAACACCAAAATTTGTTAAGAAGTTTCACTATTGTCAACTTCTTGTCAAAAAGTGTGTTAAAAAAACTGTTTTGTAGGAGAATAAACAAATCTACATAAGTTTGATTTCCTAAATCGAAATAAAAATTTCCTGATTTCCTAAACAAATCTACATATATAATTTATCGTTTCAGTCAGAAACATTGAGAAAAGGAAAAATATATGAGTCGGAATTTAAAATGTATCTGCAGACACGGTGCTTGAAGGAGTGAATATATGGCATGGAGAGAACCACAGGGTGGTGGACCATAGCAAAAGATGACTCTAGTGTGAAAGTCAGACTTAGACCCCTTGCTAAGTCTTTCCTTGCTATAATATAACCAGAAAATTCAACATATTATGAAAAGGTACCAAAAGCCTGGGAGACAATTTAACAATATAAAAATAATTTCCAACAGCAGATTGAGAAAGCTGCCAGCATCTGGAGAACTCTTTTACCCTTCTGAAATGTTGTGGAGCAACACCCACCAAACCCAAGCTAAGAGGTGGGAGAGGGCGGGGATGTTTAGAGGTGGGAGAGGGCGGGGATGTTTAGAGGTGGGAGTGGGCGGGGATGTTTAGAGGTGGGAGAGGGCGGGGATGTTTAGAGGTGGGAGAGGGCGGGGATGTTTAGAGGTGGGAGAGGGCAGGGATGTTTAGAGGTGGGAGAGGGCGAGGATGTTTAGAGGTGGGAGAGGGCAGGGATGTTTAGAGGTGGGAGAGGGCGGGGATGTTTAGGGGTGGGAGAGGGCGGGGATGTTTAGAGGTGGGAGAGGGCGGGGATGTTTATTTATTTATTTATTTATTTATTTATTTATTTATTTATGCATATACAAGAATGTACATAAGGAATGTGAGGATACAAATATGGTAATTACAGTCTTGTAAAGCCACTAGCACGCGCAGCGTTTCGGGCAGGTCCTTAATCTAAGAAAATTTTAAGGAGGTAAATACTTGCAAAATTTATAGACAAAAAAATGATAACAGATTACATGGAATGAAAAAAAAAGATGAGAGAAAATTATAGGTACAGTATATTAAAGCACATAGGTAGCTATGATTGATTGCAATGACAGCTTAAAATGGTAGTTTAGAGGTGGGAGAGGGAGGGATGTTTAAAGGAGGGAGAGGGGGGAGTGTTTAGAGGTAGGAGAGGGCAGGGGACGTTTAGAAGTGGGAGTGGGCGGGGATGTTTAGAGGTGGGAGAGGGCAGGGATGTTTAGAGGTGGGAGAGGGAGGGATGTTTAAAGGAGGGAGAGAGCAGGGATGTTTAAAAGTGGGAGAGGTATCCCTCACACAGGTAAAAGTGGTATCTCTATACAGCTGCATGTATTGTGATCAAACAAACCCCCTAGTTCTCCCATATTCCTTAACTAAGGAGTCATTCCCAAGTCAATATTTGTATTACAAACACATGATGAAAATGTTGCATATCTTACCAGACACGCTCCAGTGTTTGTTGACCTTGTCTTGGGCTAGAATGTGGTTGCAGATCTCTACTTGATACATGGACTTATCAAACGACGTCAGCATCTTCCACTTCAATGTACAATGTGGTGGAATGACATATCTGTCCTCAGGGGGCGTGGTGGTGGTGATGGTGATCACCACTGGTCCTATACAATGGAGAGATGGAGAGACAAGGAAAGCGTCTCAGTAACAAAGGCGGCATGTAAATTACTTTATACAGACTTTTGTGGACCACTTCTTGAACAACTTGTCATAAAACAGTTATTTGGTTGGTGTGTGTGTGTGTGTGTGTGTGTGTGTGTGTGTGTGTGTGTAATTACCTAAGTGTAGTTACAGGATGAGAGCTACGCTCGTGGTGTCCCGTCTTCCCAGCACTCTTTGTCATATAACGCTTTGAAACTACTGACGGTCTTGGCCTCCACCACCTTCTCACTTAACTTGTTCCAACCGTCTACCACTCTATTTGCGAAGGTGAATTTTCTTATATTTCTTCGGCATCTGTGTTTAGCTAGTTTAAATCTATGACCTCTTGTTCTTGAAGTTCCAGGTCTCAGGAAGTCTTCCCTGTCGATTTTGTCAATTCCTGTTACTATTTTGTATGTAGTGATCATATCACCTCTTTTTCTTCTGTCTTCTAGTTTTGGCATATTTAATGCTTCTAACCTCTCCTCGTAGCTCTTGCCCTTCAGTTCTGGGAGCCACTTAGTAGCATGTCTTTGCACCTTTTCCAGTTTGTTGATGTGCTTCTTAAGATATGGGCACCACACATGGGTGTGTGTGTGTGTGTGTGTGTGTGTGTATATATATATATATATATGTCGTACCTAGTAGCCAGAACGCACTTCTCAGCCTACTATACAAGGCCCGATTTGCCTAATAAGCCAAGTTTTCATGAATTATTTGTTTTTCGACTACCTAACCTACCTAACCTTACCTAACCTAACTTTTTCGGCTACCTAACTTAACCTAACCTATAAAGATAGGTTAGGTTAGGTTAGGTAGGGTTGGTTAGGTTCGGTCATATATCTACGTTAATTTTAACTCCAATAAATAAAAATTGACCTCATATAGAATGAAATGGGTAGCTTTATCATTTCATAAGAAAAAAATTAGAGAAAATATATTACTTCAAGAAAACTTGGCTTATTAGGCAAATCGGGCCATGCATAGTAGGCTGAGAAGTGCGTTCTGGCTACTAGGTACGACATATATATATATATATATATATATATGTCGTACCTAGTAGCCAGAACTCACTTCTCAGCCTACTATTCAAGGCCCGATTTGCCTAATAAGCCAAGTTTTCCTGAATTAATATATTTACTACAATTTTTTTCTTATGAAATGATAAAGCAACCCTTTTCACTATGTATGAGGTCAATTTTTTTTATTGGAGTTAAAATTAACGTAGATATATGACCGAACCTAACCAACCCTACCTAACCTAACCTAACCTATATTTATAGGTAAGGTTAGGTTAGGTAGCCAAAAAAAGCTAGGTTAGGTTAGGTTAGGTAGGTTAGGTAGACGAAAAAACATTAATTCATGAAAACTTGGCTTATTAGGCAAATCGGGCCTTGAATAGTAGGCTGAGAAGTGCGTTCTGGCTATTAGGTACGACATATATATATATATATATATATATATATATATATATATATATATATATATATATGCCACCTCCCGCATATATATATGTATATATATATATATATATATATATATATATATATATATATATATATATATATATATATATACAGTGGAACCTCTATTAACGAGTTTAATCCGTTCTGGCACCGAGCTCGTTACCTGGAAAACTCGTCTTAAGAAACAAATTTCCCCATTTATAATAAAGGAAATAAATTTAATCCGTTCCACTCCCAAAAACATCCATATTTGTATGACTTTTTTTTATGTAAATATAATACTGCACATGTAAATATAAATGTTTTGTTGTAGTGTTTTAATATTTACTTTACCTTATGAAGAGTCGTTGCTGGCTTGAGGAAGACGATGGGGAGGTAGGAAGGAGGAGAGGGGTGGAAGGAGAATCCACCTCTGAGTCATGCGGACACTCTCTTCTTGGGAATTTTACTCAAATTTCATTTCAAATGTCACACAAGGATGCGTTAGACCAACACCAAATAAAAAACTACGTCGATTACACTCGTTGTGTCAACAATATAATAGTCTTACCACGAAGATACAATAAAATGCCGTTTTCTCAAATAGGCAATGTGGTTATTAAAGAAAACGGAAATTTCATGGCAAACATGTATACAATCCCCAAGTCGATCGGATAAGAATTGGATTTTATAGAAATATTTGCTCAAATGACGCTTGAGCGCGGTGTTTGGGTGCATTCAAGAGAAAAAAGTGTGTCACGTTCAAGCGACATATACCTGCAAAAGTGATAACACTTTCATAAAGTGTTATCACAAAGTGATAAATTAATTAAACATTTTCACACACCGGGTTGTCACTGCTTTATCTGGGCAGCTTTTCCAAGAATGCGTTCACCTTTTCAAACATTCCAAACACTTCCCTGATCTCAGTGGAAGAGGCAGCATCCTCCTTTACCTCCTCATTCCCTAACTAATGGTGTAAATTGTTGATGAGGACCTGCCATACTCCCTTGTGAGATCAATCACACAGACACCACACTCATGCTTTGCTATAATTTCCTTCTTTAAATCCACAGTAATTGTGTCTTTCTTCCTCTTGACAACACTATCTTTAGCAAGCAGCTTCTTTGGAGATATCGTGTGTTACAAATTGTAGTCGCAAAACCACTAAAAACCCAAAGAAAAGCTCAAATAAATCCAGAGGGATGCTTGTCGTGTGCGATACAATAACAACACTGGCGTTGGAGGCGTCCGAGAATTTGCGAGAACCCGCGAGATGCTAGGAAGCACCATGTGGTTTTGCTCATTAATAGAGGCGAGCTCGTCAATAGAGACAAATTTGCTGCGAGTGGCTTGCTCGTTACTGGAAAAACTCGTTAATAGAGCCACTCATTAACCGAGGTTCCACTGTATATATATATATATATATATATATATATATATATATATATATATATATATATATATATATATATATATATATATATATATATATATATATATATATATATATATATATATATATATATATATATATATATATATATATATATATATATATATATATATATATATATATATATATATATATATATATATATATATATATATATATATATATATATATATATATATATATATATATATATATATATATATATATATATATATATATATATATATATATATATATATATATATATATATATATATATATATATATATATATATATATATATATATATATATATATATACATACATACACACACACAGTGTAAGAAGCATGATAATATTGTTACTTCTTTAGCAATATGAAATGTTGGATTGTGTTTCTGACCCAATTATGTGCCTGTGTAAACCTTTCTACTACCACCCACGGCATGGGTATGGGGTGAATAATAAATGATTAAATAATAAAATTACAATGAAATGTTGCAGTATTATTTGACCACCGCTGTCTAAAGTGGTCTCCAGCAAGGATCCAGCACGACTCTCAGCGAGGGTCCTGTGGAAGACCCCCAGCGAGGGTCCAACATGACCCTCAGCGAGGATCCAAAAAGACGCCTAGCAAGGGTCCAGAAAGACCATCAGTGAGGGTCCAGAAAGATGCCCTGCGAGGGTCCAGAAAGACCCCAAGAGAGGGTCCAGCAAGACCCCCAGCGAGGGTCCAGCAAGACCCCCAACGAAGGTCCAGCAAGACCGCCAGCGAGACTCCAGCAAGACTCCCCAGTGTGGGTCCAGAAAGACCCCCAGCGAGGGTCCTGCAAGATCCCCAGCGAGAGTCCTGCAAGACCCCCAGCGAGGGTCCTGCAAGACTCCTAATAAGAATCCAGCAAGACCCCAGCAAGGGTCCAGCAAGACCCCCAGTGAGGGTCCAGCAAGACCCCCAGTGAGGGTCCAGCAAGATCACCAGTGAGGGTCCAGCAAGACCCCAGACAAGGTCAAGCAAGACCCACAGCGAGGGTCCAGAAAGACCCCCAATTAGGGACCAGCAAGACCCGCAGTGAGGTTCCAGAAAACCCCCCCAGCAAGGGTCCAGAAAGACCCGCAGCGAGGGTCCTGGAAGACACCAGTGAGGATCCAGCAAGACCCCCCCCAGCAACGGTCCAGGCCAACGAACATTCCAATTTACGTGCAAAGAATGAAGGTGAAGTAAGAATACGTACTGCAGACATACTCTGGACACTTTTCACCTGGGTTGACCAGGTATAACTTCTCATTAATGCTGCAACTCGGTTTCTCCTTCTGTGGAAAACATTGTATTATAAAAAATGGTAAAACATTAAATGGTAAAAAAATCAGCGTTTAATGTAATGAAATGCCATTTTCTGGTGAGTCCTGGAGGCTCCCCCGGAGCTATTCAGGCTGATATGCTAATGTCAGACTTTGGCATCATTAATGTGTATGGAGTTCTGTGGGCTTACTGAGGACCACGAGCCAGAACCTGGCCCCCCTCACAGAGGCACGAGGAGCAATGGCTTATAGAAACTCCAGTGTGGTTGGAAGCATTCTATGTCTGCCATCAACCGAGTTAGGCACCCAGAAAGATAGGTGTCCCAAAACAAAACCCAATTCTGGTGAAAATTGCTACAAAAAGTCGAACAAGTGAATAGAACTCCCCAAACAGAAATGAGCAAACGAGTATGACGTCACACGTCGCCGCGCTGCAGTCTGCACAGCTCCCCCCTCCCCGGGAAAGGAAAGGGGAACCCTAGAATCCCTCGCCACCCATCCACACCCCAGTTCTGAAGCTGGAAATCAAAAACACCCGAAAACCACCGACCAGAGGGACAGAGGGCTGCTGGGGAACCTCCGGGACTCGCCCAGTAATTGGCATTTCATTACAATCAACACTGGTTTTCTGGGGGGATCTCCATCGGCTCCCCGGACCTACCTACCCAAAGACGAAAACAAGAGGGACCTAACTTGAGAGGCGCAAGTCGCACACTCCCTAACGCGAAGCGGAGACAAAACTGCAACTGCCAACCCAAGACCACACAGGCCCGACAATGCCCAGGAACAGCAATGAAAGAACAGAGTCAACCTATAAACGACTAGGGTACAGGGACAGACAGCAGGCTGGCAGGACCAAACCACACTGCAGACAACCCGAGAGAACTGCACCCTGGAACAGATTAGAAGGGAACCCGGAACAACCCAAAATGTGACCCTGGTCACAGCAGCCATGACACGCCAAGCACGGCGAAGTCTTGCAAACGAACACAACACACGATACCCCCAGCCAAACCAACCAGGCATCAACCACCCAAGGACCCCTCCGGAACGCAGCCATGCCAGTCTTCGCCAGAAAAGAAGGAGATTACTGCAAGCGAACAAACCTATCAGGAGAACCAAAAGAGCCGAAACCCAGGCGCTGGAGGAGGGCATGAAGCATCCCATCCCAACTCCCAGAGGCCAACGCCAACAAGAAAAAAAAGCCTTGGAAGACAATCCAGAACCAAAGGTGCCACAACAAACCGAAGAGAAGAGAAAAGAGCACGCAATACAAGAACCAGGACGGCTCAAGCCGCGCAAGAGCAGGCCGGAGGTGAACCACGACAGAGATGGCTCGCGAAGCAGTGCAGAGGCAACTCCAAAACCAAAGCAACCCGCAGCGGCTCCACCAACGCCACACGAGACAAGGTGACAGTATGTGGCAAGATGATGACCCTGAACCTCCACATGAGAAGGACAAGATCACGCCAACAATATGCAACGAACCTACAAAGAGACAGAAAGAAAAAGGACCGCCAAAAAACCCCACACCGCCGCCAAGATGAAGCACGTGGGTGGGACACCATCAACGAAGCCACCTGATCACTAACAGATGGTGAGACTCGAGGCAGAACTGAACCAGCCCCGCCATAGACTGATCGAGCATAAGAATAGGCAGAACCGGAAACCCAAGCTTGCAAGGAAACAGATGGAACGTCTGCCATACAGAAAACTTCCCAATGCTAGCGAGCTTGCCAGGAGATCGAAGACACTGTGATACCAATGCGAGACTCATGAGAAGTGACACAGCGAAATCTTGAAAAAGCTAACTGGCAGGGTAAGCCAGGAAACCAGGAACCCAATCCTGGCAAGCCGGGAAAGAACAAAACACAGGGGCGGTGCAAAAGCAGGGAAGTGAACATGGACAAATAAATAAATAAATAAAACTACTACAAAAAAAAATATAAAACCAAAAACCCTTTGTTGTGCTATCAGAAGTGTAACTACCCTGATGTTGCTAAGATTAATCTCCTTCAGCCAACTCCATCGGCTCTAGGGCTTCAAAACACCAGCTAGGTCACAGACACTAGCCCCCCCATCCCCAGCCAATGTACTGACAACCCAACATAACACATACGCAAACAAACGACACACACACACACACGTCAACCCATGGTGGACAGGCCACTGAACTTTCAAACCTCCTCTCTTTCTACACCCGCATCCTCTTCCTGAATTTCATCTCCCCATCCCTCTACCTCCCCCATCCTTTCCAATCCCTTTGGACATCAAAGTGAAAGACAAAGTCCAACCTAGCAGTAGGAGAGCCAAGAAGAACATACTTAAACACACAACAATGTGTAGGAGAGAATGAGAAAAAAATGGAAGACCGCAAGAAAAAGACCAGAAAAACAGCCCCAGCACCAGCAGCTAGAGACAAGAGTGGAGAAGGAAGATGAGGAACGAGGAAGACAGGCAGCAAACGGGAACAAAGGGGGACATGACTAACAACAGAGGCCATGTTGATTTCAGGTGATTGACAGTGGAAAGGCAGGATCAAAGAGCCAAAGCTCAACCCCTGCAAGCACAACTATGTGAGGACAACTAGATGAGTACAGAGAATCCAATGTATATGGAAGGGTTAAGCCAGGCACGGCAAGACGGTTAAGGAATGAGTGACCAAGATAAGACCGTGAAAGACGGGTCCATGCCCCACCGTGTAACAATTAACATAGACGAACAAGGAAGGCCACAGGAAGAAGCATGCAAGGGCCCAAAGAAAATACTACAACCAATCTGCAACAAGCATCCAAAAACCATGAACCAGCACCTGGCAGAAAGAGACGCCTGACCGCATAAACTCACCTGCAGAGCGTAGGCAAGAACGTGTCATGACACATCGTAGCCGAGAATATTCAGAGAGCACAACCAGTGGAATAAGGCCAAAGCTGCAGATGCAAGAGAGGAGTAGGGTAGAGGCACCCCATATCCGTATGCAGAGAAAACCAGGCATCCTCCCCATATTGGTAATTCAGAACACCCCCAGTATCTACGGGGCACAGATTGGAGAGAGAAGAGGAGCAAGAGAGGCGAAGCACTTGAGAGAAAAAGGATGCAGAACACCAGCACTTGTGTACACCGCCCATAATGAAACAAACTCCCACGGCGCATGCGCAGGACGCATGAGGTCCGAACTTCACAACCCACTCGACGGGGAAGGTGCCAACTAGGAGTATTTAAGGTAAATTAGCAGTGCCGAGACAGAGCATGGAGAGAAGATATAATCACAAAAGAACAAGATAGTAGTGAAACCAGGAAGAAGCACAGAAGAGGAACAATGAGTCCTAGAAAGGACTGGAGGTAAGCCTCACCGGAAGACGATAAACGTTCCAATAATACGGGAAGAAGCAAAGACCTTCCCGAACCTTTGAGACCCTACAGAAGCAAGCACAAAATCACGAAGGCTCAAAAGGCACAGTTGAGTCTCAGTTGCACCTGAGACCAAAAGTCATGCAGAACCCAAAATGAAGGGAACATGACGGAGAAGTCCCGTCCCAGAAAAGAAGGGTGAGAAAACGGAGACGAGTACCCACCGATAGGATGGAACCGACGAACCCAAAGGGACCAAGGAACCGAACCCGGAGAGGGGCCGACGCCCAAAAACTCATACGCAAAGCGGGGAAAGGTAAAACCCTACTCCCCATAACCGCAAGTCCCGCTCAGAGGGTAGAAAACCACGGTGGGGTATAAAGGGCCTGAGGCCCCCCCCAAGTCAGCCCCTTCCCAGCCTCAGGAACCTGCACAGCAGGCCCCGGGGCCGAGCCATCTCCCCAAAGCCCCAGCCTCACAAGAAAAAGCCAGGGCAGCCAGAAAATTACTAAGGTATGGAGTCCACTGGCAGACTCATACAACACGGTTGGAGGAACAGGCTCAAATGCCTCTGTCGCTACCCCGGAAGGGGAAATCCCCGAGACCGCCCGAGTCTCAAGACCACCGAAGCCCCGCCCCGACCCCGAACCCACAGACGGTAAGGATCCAAATGCAGGGAGGAAAGGGGGGGGGGGGGGGGGCAGAAAAAATCACAACAGGGGGAAAGACACCACAACAAACCCGAGCCAGTCCCTGGACCCCAGATGAATCGGGACGTGCCAATACGCGTCCTTGAGGTCCAGGGACACCATCCAAGCACCTGGCTCCAATAGAAGCCGGACCTGGGACAGAATGGTCATCCGAAAGAGGAGGGGCAAGAAACCCAGGGGTTCAGATGGGACAAGTCCAGAATGAACCCACAGGTCCGTACAGTTCTGTTTTGGAACTGAAAACAGGCGGGAAACCCATCTGAGAGACGTCGTTGTTTTGACCACACTCAAGCACACCCACTACAAGAAGACCTGAAAGAGCGTAGGGAAAGAGGCCTGCCCTGCCAGTCCCGAACCCCCGAAGGAGGAGGAGCCACCCAACACCACCGCAGGCCACGAGAAACGACCAGATAAGCTCACAAATTGTAAGACCAGACATGAGCGAACAGAGTAAGCCTCCCCCACATCGCCCCGTCAATGAGGCGAACCGCAAAAGGGCTGACCGAGAACGAGTTCCGAGAACGCGACCTGCGTACAAAGTGAACGTTGCGCCGATCAGGCGCAGCCAGGACCAAAGGCGGCGCCGGCTCAAAAACTAGCACCTGTGGCCTACTCCAATGAGCCAAACTGCGAGCCCTGGCACGACCCCTCCGAGAAGAACTCTCCCCCCCCCCTAAGACTCCCGGAGAACCCGGAATGAACCCGGAATCTCATAACAAACCCAGTATGGAGAAGATCCAAACCTGAAATAAGACGGATCCATTATAGAGGCATACTCCAGGTCGCATAGGAAGAAAACAGCAATGGCCTCCTGCACCTCAGTAGGCGAGACGCAGGACGCCGAAAACCTCTGGAAAGACAAAACTGAAGAACCCGCCGTGGCATGGAACTGAACCTAGGGAGGAGCCGAACCCAAATCCAACTCGTACGCAGAGGGGGGAAAGGAAAAGCCTACTCCTTGTAACAGTAAGCCCCGCTCGGAGGGTCAGAAAATCCAGGCGGGGTCCAACGGGGCCTAAGGCCCCAAAGCCAGCTCACCCCCAACCCTGGAAACCTCCACATAAGGCCGCTCCACATTTGGAGTCGTCCGCCAAAGCCCAGGGCACACAAAAAAAGGCAGGGGCAGCCAAAATAGCAGGAAGAAAATGGCCCACTGGTCAGACCACAGAGCTATGGCTGGAGGAACAGACTCAAATGCCTCCATCGTCCCCCGGAAGGGGCAACCCCCAAACATGCCATGCCCTAGTCTCAGAAACCTCTAAACCCTGGCCCAACCCCGACGCCCTAAGACGCTGAGGAGCCGGCAGCAGTACGAGGGAAGGGGGGGGGAGAACCGAATGAACCACAGCAGGGAAAGAACAAGGGGGGGCATGGACGAAACCAAGGCTGAAACGACCAACACCTCCCAAGTCTGGGTCCCTATAAGCAAAGCAGGGCAACCTCTGTACATCCAGGGAAGCAACAACCTAGCACGTTGCAACAACCTAAACCTATCCTGCAACGTGCGAGCAGCCCGTACCCAAACAATGTCATTATCAGATTGGGTGAATTGAGTCACAAACAAGCAACAAAGCTCGCAGGACTCAGGGTTGAATGTGTCACCGACCCAACAGGAAGTATGACGGAGGCAAAAACAATGAGCGTCGCCCTGAGACAAGGTGATAGAGCAACCCTCAAACTCACACATGGCAAGAAGGGACTCAGGGGTCGCATCCATTGGACCCGAGTGCCCCTGCAGGGTTTCCCAGGGCCTCTAGGCTGGGTCTACTAAGGGTAATCCTAGGCAGGGTACTGCTAAGAGGTGCCCAAGCTACCAAACAACATTGCTAAAGCTGAAACCCCGGGACATGTCCACTCACGAGGGCAAAGCAGGGGGTACCACCAAACAAAAATAACCCTAGTATGCAGGAAGAAGTAACACCGAGGCAGATCCCCCCTCCCCCACCAGACAAAAATAAAATGAAAAGAAAAACCTCGCAAGAAGACAACATACCAAAAGGGAACAGAGCCAGCCGCTGTCATAGATGAAAACTAGCTGCACAGTACCCAGTGCTCCTCCTACCAGTGCAAAAACTACCACTTACCCAAAGGCAAACAAGGGTGGAAACCCCCAAAACACTCTGGGTGGTCAAATACCAAGCAGCAAAAGACCAGCAGAGGTAGACCCAAGGTGACCAGTGGAAGAGAATCCCAAGCCCCAAGGGCAGTATTTACAGCGTACTCAGGGAAGGTGACCCTAAGCACATGCAGCCCGAGTACCTTGGAATATTACTCCCAGCTCACGCGCCACTGTAAGAGCAGTACTGAACCAAGGCACAGGACAACACAAAAGTCTGGAGCTGGAGCCACACAACCGTGACGCCTCACATCAACTGAGGAACTGAGGTGTGGATCGCAGACGCAAAGGTCTGGGGCTCCCCCTTCTCGCGCCCGGGCCCCGGGGAAGGGGAGGAGAGCTGTGCAGACATGCAGCGCGGCTCGTGTGACGTCATTCTTATTTGATCGTTTTCTTTTGGGGAGTTCTGTCCATTCGTTTCTCTATTTTTGTTGTTTTAACCAGAATAGGGGTGTTTTGGGGCGCTTACCTTTCTGGGTGCCTGTTCCAATAGATGGCAGATATAGAATGCTCTAAATCACATGTGCATTTCAATAGGCCAGTGCTCCTCGTGCCTCTCTGAGGGGGCCATGTTCTGGCTCGTGGTTCTCAATAGGCCAAGAACTCCACCCACACTGACTGATGCCAAAAGTTAGGTATATTCATATCAACCTGGATACCTCTGGGGAGCTGTAGGGGCTCCCACCAGAAATTAAATCATATATTATATAATAGAAAGCTTTATCATTTCGTAAGAAAAAATTTGAAAAATATATTACTTCAGGAAAACGTGTTATCATACTATCTATCATCATAAGTAAAAATAAAAATAAATAAATTTTGAAAATATACACATATTCAATGACTATATTACTAATATATACAAGAACATAGAAAGAAAGGATACTGAAGAAGGGCTACTAGCCCACTTCAGGCACTTCTTTTATATGGAGGCAAATACTGTACTTACATGAGGGCAGCCGGAGACCGGGATGCAGCCAAAGTCGGGGCATGGCGCTGTCTTCGACACCCACCTGAAGAAGGTCATGTAGCCTGGCTGACACCACTTCACAGGGCATGAGATCTCACACTTGAACTGTACAATACAAATCACTAAGGTAATCTCACACTTGAACTGTACAATACAAATCCTTAAGGTAATCTCACACTTGAACTATTGAAACTAATCACAGTAATCTCACACCTCAATTCAACAACACGAACACATTTCCACTAGAAATGGTCACAGGATCACATGGACCTTGAGAGCCTTAGTTACCAGCACTAGGTCACATGGACCTTGAGAGCCTTAGTTACCAGCACTAGGTCACATGGACCTTGAGAGCCTTAGTTACCAGCACTAGGTCACATGGTCCTTGAGAGCCTTAGTTACCAGCACTAGGTCACTTGGACCTTGAGAGCCTTAGTTACCAGCACTAGGTCACATGGTCCTTGAGAGCCTTAGTTACCAGCACTAGGTCACATGGACCTTGAGAGCCTTAGTTACCAGCACTAGGTCACATGGTCCTTGAGAGCCTTAGTTACCAGCACTAGGTCACATGGACCTTGAGAGCCTTAGTTACCAGTACTAGGTCACATGGTCCTTGAGAGCCTTAGTTACCAGCACTAGGTCACATGGACCTTGAGAGCCTTAGTTACCAGCACTAGGTCACATGGACCTTGAGAGCCTTAGTTACCAGCACTAGGTCACATGGTCCTTGAGAGCCTTAGTTACCAGCACTAGGTCACATGGACCTTGAGAGCCTTAGTTACCAGCACTAGGTCACTTGGACCTACTGGCTAGACCATCATATTGCATATTACAATCATTTAATAAGAAAAAGGTTAACCCTACTTCAAATCTGAAGTTAAACTAATATATAAATAGTTTTTCTCGCATACACTTTAAATGGGAGATGTAGGGAAAGATGGTAAGTCATCTAGGTTCAGTTTTCAATCCTCCTAAACCAAAAAACCAACGTTGAATGTAATGAAATGCCATTTTCTGGGTGAACCACGGACGCTCCCTGGAGCTTATCGGGCTAATGTATCTTATATTAGACCAGGACATTAGCTATAAAGTTCAGACCCACCAGGGACCATGAGCCTCAACCTGGCCCCTTCAGAGAAGTTTCAGGGAGCAATGGCCCTGGAACCCCCCCCTCCTGTGGTTGGGAGTTTTCCGTATCTGCCATCGGCCAGGGTTAGGCACCCAGACTGGTAAGCATAACAAAACAAACTTCACATGCTAAGAAACTAACAACAAAACCGAACAGAGAGGTAGAACTCCTTACAATCCTAGTGAAACAAGCAAACAACAAATATAACACACTGCTGCTCATCCGTGCAGCCCTCCCCTCCCCGAGAGGGAAGGGGTGGCCCCGGACCTCACTGTGCCGGCTGCATAGCACTCCAGTTTGGAAGCTAAACTTCAACCGATGCGAAAAAAATGACAACCAATGGGAGGGAGAGTTGCCAGGGAGCCTCCAGGGCTCACCCAGAAAATGGCGTTTCATTACATTCAACGCTGGTTTTCTGAGGGGAGCCCCTACGACTCCCTGGAGCTACGTACCCAAAGAGAAGGAAAAGAGAGGGCTGAACTGGGAGGCAGCCTCCACAAACTCTGCAAGGTCAAGTCGAGACAACAGGCTGCAACCTGTGACCCAAAGCAACACAAGAACACCTAGGAGCAGACACGCCACAAAATAACAGGCGGCCAGGAACCTGTACGACCTCCAAATCCCTGCGCTCTAATATGAACCCAAGACATGTTACCAAACCCGGCAGCCAAAACTGCAAATGGCCGAACGGCACTGGCGCGAGGATAGACCGCATACTGGCTAGACTGAAGAACCCTGCGGACGGCCTGGGAGACCCGAGCCCTGGAACAGGGAACGAGTGAAACCGAATCAACCCAAAGCGCATCTCCAGTCACCACAACTGAGGCGTGCAGGTAACAGCGAAGAGCCGCAATCGGACACAACTCACGATTCACCCCCGGCTGAACCAACCAAGCATCAAAAACCCAAGGACCCCTCTGGAAAGCAGCCGTCTCGGTCTTCGCCAGAAAAGACGGAGAAGGCTGCAAACGAACAAACCTATCACCAGTACCAAAAGAGCAGACACCCCTGCGCCGGAGGAGAGCAGGAAGCTCCCCGACCCGACCCCCAGAGGCCAATGCCAACAAAAACAGGTCTTTGGAAAAACAATCTTGAACCGAAGGGGCCACCACAAACCGAGGAGAGAAAAGAGAAAGAGAGCACCCTGACCAAGTACCAGGATGGCTCAGGCGGCGCCTGAGCAGGCCGGAGGTGAAACAAAACACAAGAAAACATATGGAACGGAGCGGATGTGACATCCACCCCTAACCCCATATTGGTAAAAGAGGCAACTGTCATCTTGAGACAGGGGCATAGCAACCAATGAACCCGAACAAGACGGGTTGGAACCTGGAAGACACATCCAGAGGTCCACCGAGCCCCGACAGGGTTTTCCATGGCCCATAGGTTAACAACTACGGGAAGCCCGGGCAAGGAGATGCTAACCGGTTAACACCCAAAGCTAACAAGGGGGATGCTAACACTGAAACCCCCTGCGAAGTGTACAAACACGGGGGCCCAGCAGAGGGCCACCAAACACTACCAGTGGAACTATAGCCACACTAAGCAGACCCCCACCAGGCAAATGAAAATAAAAAAGAAAAGAAAAACACCGCAAAAGTACACCATCCCCAGAGGCAACAGGAACCGGTTGCCGAGTAGGTGGCAGATTGTGCAACACCTTGACGCCCTAATCAGCACAATACCAGTCCCTACTCATGGCCAAACAAGGACCCCAAGCCCCAGCTGGTCCCAAGGGCAAGGCACATGCAGAGCAGCAAGAACCTCTACGGGAATGGTTCCCGAACACCCCCGGGGAGATAACCCTGACATGCAGGGGCAGTACTCACAGGGCACTTAGGGAAGGAAGCCCTTAAGCGCATGCTGCCCAGGTACTGATGAGTAACTCCTGGTCACCACACACCACAATAACACAGCAGTGAGCACCACGAAGGCAAACACCATCAAGAAAACCGAGGCCAGAGAAGCATCTGTCCCGGTTGACATTAATTTACGAACTAGAGTGCTATACAGCCGGCGCTGTGAGGTCTGGGAGCCCCCCCTCCCCCTCTCGGGGAGGGGAGGGCTGCGCGGTCAAGCGGTGCGGAAGTAGTGTGTTACGTTTGCTTGTTTCACTGGGACTGTAGGGAGTTCTACCTCTCTGTTAAGTTTTTGTTCTTAGTTTCTTACCATGTGGGGTTTGTTTTGTTAATTTCTTCTCTTCTGAGTGCCTAACCCCGGTCGTTGGCAGATAAGGAAAGCCCCAACCACAGAGGGAGTTTTCCAAGGCCATTGCTCTCTGAAACCTCTCTGAAGGGACCAGATTCTAGCTCATGGTCCCTGGTAGGTCTGAACTCCTTAGCTAATGTCCCGGTCTAATATAGCATACATTAGCCCGATAAGCTCCAGGGAGCAGTAGGGGCTCCCTTCAGAAAGATGGGATTTCAATAGCTGGATCAACACAACTGGCTGGTATGAAGTTTTAAATGAAACCTGGTCGACCACCACCAGGTCGCTCAGATTAATCATCACCACTCAGATTCATAGTTTACGAAGGACTACACATGCCAAGTTACTTAATAATGCTTAAATATACTGTGTGACTTTTTATTATTGATAAAAAACAGAGGGGTGAGAATATATGGAGTATAATAAGAGGGGAAACTGTTGCAAGCAGAATGCCCAAGGACTATGTCCTGGGACCTCACTTCTTTGCCACGTGCACCACTGAGTTACATACACGATTGAACAGTAATCACAAAATTTGTAAGCAACTCTAAACTGGGGCGGATAATGAATTCCGTTCCACACTTAGAAATGGTCCAGGAAGACCTAAATGGACTTTCAAAATAAGCCTAAAAATATCATATGCAGTTCAGTATTGACAATGTAACACTGTAAGCCTTGAAAAAGAAAACAAGAGGCTCTAGATATCAGCTAAATAACATCAAAATTTGTAGATCTGATTGTGAAGAATATCTGTAAGTCATGTTTAGTAGAGATAAATAAATCTGATAGGGTATTAACATTAATATTAAGAATTGTAAAACAAACACCTAATATTAGCATTCAAGTAGATCTTAGCCTTGAGACACCTGATATAGAGCACAGTGCAGGTCTGGACACCCTACTATACATTGGGTTAAAATTCCATGGACACTACAGAGAGAGACGGATGACTACGGTAACCCATGTAAGTTACTTCCACACTTCCATCACATACAATGCTGTACAATGACGATATTTACCTCAGAGTGTCTGAATGTACAAAAAAAAAAAAAAACTGCGTTGAATGTAATGAAACGCCATTTTATGGGTGAGACCCGGAGGCTTCCCGGAGCTATATCAGGCTGATGTGTATATATTAGACTGTGGCAACAGTCTATCGAAGGAGTTCTAGGCCTACCGGGGACCACAGCCAGAACCTGGCCCCCCCCTTTAAGAGAAGCACGAGGAGCAATGGCGAAAAGACACCCCCTTGTAATTGGAAGCAGTCTTTGTCTGCCATCTACCATGTCAGGCACCCAGAAAGTTAGGAATTACAAAACAAATTACTGCTGGTCAAAAATTGCAAACCAAAAGCCGAACTTGCAAACAGAACTCCCCAATCAAAAACAAGGAAGCAAACATGACTTCACCACAAACACCACACATCTGTCTGTGCAACTGCCCCTCCCCGGGAGGGGGATGAGGGTGTCCCAGACCTCAACGCTGGACACTCTCCTCAATTCAGAGGCTGAGTATCAAAAACGCGAAAAAAACGCTGACTGGAGGGAGGGAGGGATTCCGGGGAGCCTCCGGGTATCACCCAGAAAATGGCGTTTAATTACATTCAGTGGTGGTTTTCTGTGGAGAGCCCCTTCGGTTTTCCGGAGCTACCTAACCAAAGATAAAAAGGAAAGGTGACAACCACCCAGGAGGTGGTTGTCACTCGCTCCTAAACTCGAAATCGAGACAACTGGCCCCCAACCTGCGACCCAAGGCTATACACGCCTGAGAAGGGCCAGGAATATTAACAAGGTATTGTGCAGCCAAGACCCTGTTCGAACTCCAAAAGCCCCATGCCCGAATGATAGGCCAGAACATATTACCAAAAAAACAGCAGCCAAAGTTGTGAACTTACGAATGGCATGGGCACGAGGGAAGACCGCAGGCTGGCTGGACCAAATAATCCTGCGGACAGCCTGGGAGACACGCGCCCTGGATTACGGAAGAAGGGAAACCGGGTCAACCCAAAGCTGCAACTCAACAGCCCAACTCTGCTACAGAGACTGTTGCATGCGAATAACGGCGAAGAACCACAACCGGACACAAAACATTATGCACCCCCGGCCGAACCAACCAAGCATCAACAACCCAAGGATGCCTTCGGAACGCAGCAGACTCATTCTTCGCCAGAAAAAAAGAACAGCTGCAAATGAAGAAACGACCACCAGGACCAAAAGAGCAGAAACCCCTGCACCTGAAGAGAGCATGAAGCTCTCCAACCCGACCCCCAGATGCCAACGCCAAAGAGAAAAGAACCGTAGAAAAACAGTCCTGAACCGAGGGGTCCACCACAATCCGAGGAGAGAAAAGAGAGCACCCGGTCCAACGACTAGGATGACTCAGGCAGCACATGATCAGGCAGGAGGTGAAACAATGCCTGAGAAAGATTGCAGAACGAAGCAGGAGTGACATCCACCTCAAATGCAAGCTGCAGCAGCTTCGCCAGTGCCGCACGATACGAGGTGATAGTATATGGCATAAGATGATGGTCCTGAAACAACCAAGAGAGAAAGGACAAAAGAACCCGACCAGAAAAGCGGAGCCAAAGTACCAAAACGACCGCCAGGAAACTTCATAATGCCATCGAGACAAAACTCGCAGGTGGGATACCATCAACTAAGCCATTTGAATTTTTTAATTTGAATTTTTGAAGCAACGAACAGATACACAGCCTCCTCCGAAAAAGCGCATACAACTTCAACAAGGCAGCCGACATCCGAGCTGCCGAAGCAAGCACACTGGACACTGGCCCGGAACCCAGCTCCTCCACTCCCACCCTGAACCAGTCTGAAGACAGCTCCAGCAGGGAAAAGAAGCGCAAAACCAAAGCCAAGTGCCCACGGGTGTGCAAATCCTCGGCCACCAGGGACTCCAAAAGGGAGGGAACCTGCACGTGAAGTCGCACCTGGCCAGCATCATGAGGAAAGGGGTGGCGAAAAGCACGCATTGAGATGCTCCAACTCGCCCTCCCCAGATAATCCTGAATGACGATAGTCAACTCCGCTATTCAAGTGTGCGGTCTGACAGAACGAATGCCAGGCCCCCAAAGAAAAGAAAAGAAAAGGCAGTCTGCCAGCCAGGAGGACTCTGGCACCTCGTAACGGACCCAATAAGGAAAAGAGAAGCCAAACTCAGAAGAAGGCGGCTTCATCATCAAGGCGTAAAACAGGTCTCACTGGAGTTACGCCGCAAGGGCCTCCCACACCTTCCTCGGTGGGATGCGGGAAGCCAAAAACCACCGGAAGGAGGAAACCGAAGAACCCAGGGGAACTTGGAACCGAACACTGGGAGGAGTCAAACTCATAACAAAATCGTGCAGGAAGGGGGGATAGGAAAACCCCTTCCCTTGTAACCTGCTCCTGAACGGCTCATGGAAGATAACCCTAAACCACAGAGGCAGTACTTACGGGGAACCTAGGTAAGGTAGGAATAGGTGCATGCAGCTCCAGTACTCGTGTTACTCCTGGCTCACACAACACCAACACAGGGCAACAACACTGCTAAGCAGCACTGCCCAAAGAGTGGAGCCAGAGCGATCGACCATTTGCCATCAAACAGCCCGTGAACTGAGGAAAGTTGCCGGCGTGGAGGTCTGGAACCCCTCCCCCCCTTTGTGTCCCTCCCAGGGAGGATGGGGGAGGGGGGGGGGTTGAGCAGACGGATGTGCAGCGGTTGTGGTGATGTTATGTTTGTTTCCTTGTTTTTGATTGGGGAGTTCTGTTTGCTGGTTCGGCTTTTGGTTTGCAATTTTTGACCAGCAGCAGTTTGTTTTGGAATTCCCACCTTTCTGTGAGCCTGACCTGGTAGATGGCAGACAAAGACTGCTTCCAATTACACGGTGGTGTCTTTAAGCCATTGCTACTCGTGCCTCTCTTGAGGGGGACTAGGTTCTGACTCTGGTCTCTGGTAGGCCTAGAACTCCTTCAATTGACTGTTGCCACGGTCTAATATATATACACATCAGCCCGGTATAGCTCCGGGGAGCCAAAGGGGCTCTCCACATTAATTATTTAAAATAATAAATTAGGTTATTAAATGTAAAACACATCTAACAAATTCCAAAATGTACTACCTTAGGACACAACTCTGAAGGATTGTTATATTTCTTTAACGTATATCCTGGAGAACATCCCTGAGGGCGGCAAGGTTCACCTGGCACCGAGAAGCACCAGAAGTCAGTACAGTCGGCGTAAGGGAAGTGTGCGTCGATGCGGTGCTCCTCATCAGTGTAACTCTCCTTTTTGAGTGTATATCCAGAGGAACACACTTGTTCTGGACATGGATCCTCGCATGTGTATTCCGGGCACACTGTTACTGTCTGTTGAACAACATCCACATCAATGTTTTATGATCATATAATAATTCATGTTATAGATTCATTACTTATATACAACTTTCAAAAGAGGAAGGATGGTTTTACAAACCTTATTTGAAAACACAACAAGTTGCTTTGGTGGACAGTCAAGTTTGGGGCACTTCTCCGGAGGCTTGCAAGATATCATAGGACATTCTCCTACGCCAGTGAGTTCCTCCTTCTCCCAGTAATCAGGACAATTTTGGATTGGGCAAGGTTCTTGAGGGATGATATAAGATTAAGAGTTCAAAAGTTTGGGATAAAAAGTAACTGAGAGATTAACTATAAAGCCTTCAGAACATAATTCAATGAACACACAATTTTTCTGTACAAAAAGTGTTACCTTTCATCAGAATGATATAACACATTAATATATACAAAATTTTGAAGCAAAATATTAATTCGGGATTAAACTGGTGATGAAATTTAACAAAAAATATCTCCCTTCCCCCTTAAAGCTCAACTACCACTGTGCAATAGAGCTTACAAACTCCCCGATCTTCAAATCAAATCAAATGTTTATTCAGGTAAAAGTACAGACATAGAGGATTACTGTAGTTACAAACTTAATGGTGGATTTATAGAGCTAGTACGTAAATACCTAAAGCCACTAGTACGCATAGCGTTTCAGGCAAGGTGAGGTGGGGGAAAAAACACTTTAGACTAAAATCTAATAGTAATTGAACTTAAAGTATAAATTGCGTTGAAAGAGAAAAAAAATAAAAGAGAAAAAGGGGGGGAACATGGTAGAAAAAAACCAATATACAAGTTGGTCAACAAACAGCATTGTTTAAAAATAGTAAGACATGGGTTGACATTTAAGGGTAAGGTAGGTTACATGGAGTTAATTAGGTAGTGCTTAGTTTTCATCTTAAACTGGTTGAGAGAGGTACAGCCTTTGACATGATTGGGAAGGTCATTCCACATTCTGGGTCCCTTGATTTGTAGAGCATTTCTAGTTTGATTAAGTCATACTCTTGGAATATCAAATAGGTATTTGTTTCTCGTGTGGTTCCCATGGGCTCTGTTACAACCTTCTAAGAAGCTTTTAAGGTCAGGACTGACATTACAATTTCGAGTTTTAAATATATAGAGTACACATGAGAGGACGTGCAGTGACGTAATATCTAACATATTCAGAGATTTGAGTAAGGATACCGTGTGCTGTCTGGGGCCAGAGTTAGATAATGTTCTAATAGAAGTTTTATGTTGGGTAATGAGAGAACGTAAATGATTTTGGGTAGTAGAACCCCAAGCACAAATACCATACTTGAGATAAGGATAGATGAGAGAGAAATAGAGCGTCACCAGGGCAGGGCGAGGTACATAATATCTGATCTTGGAAAGAATGCCAACAGTTTTAGAAACTTTTTTTGCTATATTTAGAATGTGTCCCTGGAAATTCACTTGTTATCGATGAGGACACCAAGGAATTTACCATCAACTTGACTACTGATTTGTATATTGTTTATTCTTAGATTAATTTCATTTGAGGATTTATTACCAAACATAATATAGAAAGTTTTGTCAATGTTAAGGGTGAGTTTGTTAGCAGTTAGCCAAAGATGGACTTTACTTAGTTCAGTATTCACAGTGACATTTAGAGCAATCGGGTCAAGACTGGAGAAAATGAAAGTTGTGTCATCACAAATAAGATTGGTTTGAGATGTTGAGAGGGATTTGGAAGGTCATTAATGTAGATGAGAAAGAGGAGAGGGCCAAGTATGCTGCCCTGTGGAACACCAATGTTTATGGGTAGTGTAGGAGAAATGTAATTATTCACAGAAACATACTGAAGTCTGTCAGTAAGGTAAGACTGAAGGTATTGCAGGGAGTGACCTCTGACTCATCATGCTGCCAACCATGTCCCTCCCAACCATACAAGCCCACTACAAACACAACACCTCTCCAACTCTACTCACAACACCTTCTTAAAGCTGATGAAGGAACCAAAGAGCATACCTTGGGTGGTGATGGTGGTGGTGGTGGTGGTGGTGGTGGAGGGACAGTCGACCTCATCATCGAGGCAGTGTTCGACACTGTCACACCACAACGTGTCGTTCAAGCAGTAGTTGCTGGAGGGGCAGAGTCTGCTTCCCGGAGGACAGGGCTTACATTCACATCCACACTGTGACGTTAATACACCTAGTTCACCCTGAAATATTTTGCGATGGATATACATTATACACAAAACGTAAGCATAGTAAATGTATATATCTGTGAGTGAAGAGAAGCAATTATAACAACATGTGATATCTAAAACGACTACACAATTTTAATCAATAATAATTTCCAAGCTTAGGTTAGGTTACATGAACATGTATCCTGACCCAAGGTTAAGTTACATGACCATGTATCCTGACCCAAGGTTAGGTTACAGCCCCATGTATCCTGACCCAAGGTTAGGTTACATGACAATGTATCCTGACCCAAGATTAGGTTACATCCCCATGTATCCTGACCCAAGATTAGAGTACATGACCATGTATCCTGACATGAATACATGGAATAAGGGGAGAAAATACCAACCAAAATACAAAAACAAATCAACTGACTGAAAAATCAGGAGAGAACATGAAAATGCTAGGCAGATCTATTAGCCCCCAGTAACAAAATTGGGATACAGCACAAGAATATCTTTCAAGATTCCTGAGTGTATGAAGTAATTACAGAGCTCAAAGTACCTCACACCATTTGGTCTGAAGTCACTTATAACAGGGCAATCACAGATATAGTGTTGGTGAGTATGTCTTAGCTCTTGTTCACTACAGTGGACACGGGCAACCCAACCTGGCTGGGTCATGGCAGGAGATAAAGGTTTCTGAGTTGTACATGTAGGTAGATCACCCCAAATTGCCTCAAACTTTGTTAGAGATATTTAGAGTAGGATATTATTGACTTTATTAATACATTTGGTGTTAAAAGTTTTATTTGATATTTTTGTTAAATTTTCCTGTAATTAATTCTGAGCATATCATCTGGAGCTCCATTGATTCTTTTGATCATAATCAGTAATTTTTTCAAGTACAATAATAATTAAGAACAGTAAATTAATCACCAGCCAGTTGCAGAAATGAATAATTATTAAGTAGTCTCAGTAATTATCAAGAGTAAGACGCATATATATATATATATATATATATATATATATATATATATATATATATATATATATATATATATATATATATGTATATGTATATGTATATATATATATATATATATATATATATATATATATATATATATATATATATATATATATATATATATATATATATGTCGTACCTAGTAGCCAGAACGCACTACTCAGCCTACTATATATATATATATATATATATATATATATATATATATATATATATATATATATATATATATATATATATATATATATATATATACAGTATATATATTGTGACAATAATCTCCTTCAAGAGATTGAGCCTGCTCTTCCCTCCACAAACCCGTCGTTGAAATTATATAAAACGACTATGGAAGACATGTCCAACAATGACAACAACACCAGCAAGGCTTGCCAGGGTGAGCAAAACGTATGCAGCCAGCCACCTGTTCGGACCCAAACCACCAAACTACATGTTGATCGCTACCGGCTCCGCTGATTGGTCGCCGGTCTGGCTGCACCTGTACTCGCCCCCCCCATACTACTTGATGTCTGGGGTCGCCCCAACCTCGGACCTCAGAATGTTCAGTGCTCTCGTTGTCACCACTCCTCCCGGCTAGACGCTAGCGTGTACTGAGAGAAGTGGTGGCTTAAAGCCAATATTCCAGCACCTCCCATTTTACTTTTGTATTGCACTTCTTGTTATTTTGCCTTAACGTAACTTTTCATTGTGTCATCTAATTATTCTTATTATTTTGATTGATTTTATTATAAGAATTTGTTTGTGCATTTTATTCATGTTTTGATTTATTTAACGTAATTAAAATTTCATTGTTAAAGTTTACTTGTGTTTTGTGTGTCTTCTCCTTACCTTACCACAGACGAAGTTCCAGTTTTCTATTTTTTTTTATAACTATGTGACGAGGCCATACCCCTAGCCTTAAACAGCCGAACACCAACGCGTTACCGTCACAAGTTATATGGGGGCCTGTCCGGGAGCTTCACTCAGGTACTGGTGCCAAGTGGTAATTTATGGTAAGCGTATTTAACTTTGTTAACGTAGCTTTACTATTTTTCATTCAATTTCATTTTTTATAAGGTGCGGTGTATTGTGCATTACGAGAGTAACATATAGTGAAGGTGAGACAACTTTGGATTACGTGGTGACTGTAGGCCGCAGTCATACTCTTAATTGGTCATCTCTCCCTCCTTGTTATTACTCGTGTTTACCATCTATGTCCCTTGAATATTTCTCATTCTGACAGATCATCATATTGGTACCCTGGTACTGTGGTCTGCCCCGGGTCAAGAGTACCCAATCTTCTGCAATCTGACTGTAGGAGGACAAAGAGGGCCATAGTTCCTCTAGCTCGAACTTTAGTTGCTGAATTGGGACCTCAGCAGCAGTTCTCGTCACAAGTTGACACCTCGCACCCCTACACGTCAGTCAGAGATGATGATACATACAACGGTAGGGAATTAGCTTATTTTTTCAGAGCACAAAAGTTCGCTAATTCTGTAAGTATCATATTAAATTCAGTAGGAAAAACTTGCTTTATGTCCTATAGAGACTTGGCAAGGTATGCCTACATCCTTGGACTACCAATTTTACTTTTGAAGCATTTAACTGTTTCATTTGTTTTCGAAACTCTGTTTCATTTGTTAGTAGGATTTTCTTGCCCTTATTCTCTTACATGAGTACCGGGTACAAGATTTCCTGCGCCCTTGATTTAATTTAATCATTTAATATCTTTCACTTAACTTTAATTGTTAAAGATCTCACAGGATAGGTACCAGTTGCCACGTTGTCCTGTTTCTGACATTCACTATTGAATATTCGTGTACCTTTATTTGCTAATTTCACCATGTTTCGTCTCCAAACTTTCCGTGCAAATCCAGCAGGTGAAATAGGAACTTTAAGTCGTGCCAAGAGGACTGAATTACAAACTCTTGCACATGAGTATCAACTAGAAGTTCCCTACCAAGCCAACAAAAATGACCTACACAACCTGTTGCTGGATTACTATTTAGAGCAAGGTAAGATAGATTCTGAAACTCATGAAACTTACTATATTGCAGAGAAAACTGACTTGGCAACGATGAAACTTAAACTAGAGCTGGCTAAGATTGAACGTGAGCAGCAAAGGGAAGCCCGCGAACAACAAGAACGAGCAGCTGCCATACGGAGGGAAGAACAAGAACGCGAGGCTGCTTTGAGGAGAGACGAACAAGAACGTGAAGCTGCCTTGAGGAGAGAAGAACACGAACGTGGACTCGCCCTCCACGAACGTGAGGTCGCCTTGCTCCATGAACGTGAGAGAGTACAGCTTGAAACAAAACAACGCGAGTTGGAAATACAACGCGAACATGACAAGCAACAAGCAACTCTGGCTCTAGAGTGTCGTCAACGTGAAATCGCCTTGGAAACTTCCCACTTCACTCAACGCCAGCAAGCTACTGCCAATCTTCCCGTCAGTTTTAATATATCACATGCAAGTAAGTTAATGCCATCCTTTGTAGAAGCAGAAGTTGATGTGTTTTTCACCACCTTTGAAACCCTTGCTAATCAACTCAGTTGGCCTGTCGACCAATGGGCCACACTTCTCAGAGTCCATCTTACAGGTAGAGCTGCAGTCACACTCAGTACTTTGGCGTCTGAGAATGACTACTACACTCTGAAACAAGCAGTGTTGGACGCCTACCTACTTTCCACAGAAAGTTATAGAAGGAAATTCCGTGACCACCTGAAGGCAAGTACCACTACCTTCCTCGAGTTTGCTAACACGAAACGGAGGTATTTCATGAAATGGCTGGAAGCAGCACATGTCTCTACTTTTACAGAACTCGTCAACCTGATGCTTGTTGAAGAATTCTTGAGACGTGTGCCGCCTCCTGTCCGCCTCTACTTAGCAGATAAAGAAGAAACCGACTACCTGAAGTGTGCTAAGTCGGCTGACACTTACAGCCTCATCCACCGGCTGACACCTGAACCATCCTCCAGTAAGAAGTCGTGGTACAGTTACGAGAAGGTGAGCCCCGATCAAGCTGGTTCACAACTGTACTGCAAGTATTGTAGACTCTATGGACATACCATAGACAAGTGTGGTAAGTCTCAATACAAGGGAACCACTGACCAACAACGACCCAAACCAACTCCTCCTAAGTCCGGTAAGCCTGTGATGAATGTTGGTGTTGATGTTAATGATCTTTCTCTTTTCAGTAACCACCTGTATACTGGAACTGTCTCTGCCAACGGTTCAAATCCGGAGGGACGTTTCAAATTGAAGATCTTGAGGGACACAGCGGCTCTACAATCGATCATCTTGAAGTCGGCTGTGCCCAACATCGTCTACACCGGGGAAACAGTCTTCATCACTGACCTCACTGCTACCACTCCATACCCTCTCGCCAGAGTCCACCTGGATTGTCCCTACGTGAACGGGGAAGTCCAAGTCGCCGTCAGGGAAAAGCCTTTTCCCATGCCTGGAGTGCAACTTCTCCTAGGCAACGACTTGGCAGAAGACCTGCAACCGACCAACCTGATCGTCATGGACAAACCCCAGGTGTGTAACTCTGTGCCAATAAACCCTATTCTTGAGTATGTTCCAGCAGAGGTTCAAGAGAGTGATGAAGTTTCTCCTCCGGTTCTCGTGACCACCCGTGCACAAGCCGCACGTCCACAGCCAGCTGACTCGACTGCTACCGCTGTCCCTCAAGACCCTCAGAAACTCCCCCCGCATCTGACCAAGTTGGAGTTCCGTAAGTTGCAGAGGGAAGATCTTACTTTAACACCATTGTTTTTCCAGGCTGAGACTCAACCCGACAGTATTCCTGGGTTCTTCCTAGAGAACGACTTGCTCTACCGCAGATATAGACCCAGTAAACTGAAGGAGGACGATTGGGCCAACATCGAACAACTTGTGATTCCCACCAGCCTGCGGCCCACTATTCTACACCTGGCCCACGGAGCATTCTCCCACTACGGCTTCAACAAGACTTACCATGGGATTCGTCAAGACTACTACTGGCCA